AAAGATGCTTAAACGGGTCAATGAGCCCATCTGGCGTTAAGTGGGTACCGGAGCTAACAGACATGTGACATTTAGTTTAGTCAATGGCATATGTATTTCTTGTAGAGTAGGGAATAAAATTGTTTATCTTTTTTTTTATAATATTAAAGATCGTCAATGTCTAATAATAACAAAAAAAGATCATTGAAAAACACGTAAAAAGGCAGTAAGCGCTTTTATTTGCCTATTCACGGATAAATTGTATTTTATTTATAAGTCACGAAGTGTTTAACTAATTTGAAAAATATTGCTCTGCTTTTCTCGCTAAATGAAGTACGTCATAATGGAAATGCGCAGGAAATTTTATTCAATCAAATGTCGGTACGCACAGTGATCATGCTTTTGGCCGGTAGTAAGAAATGTGGACAAACTCTATTAGAAATTTAAACATTAATTTAATCTGACGAAGCCTGTTTCGGATAATAATATGTTTAAAAAAGTTTTATTTCATTATTTAAATAAATTCGGGTATTAATTGGTTTAAACGTCTACTCTTCTCGTTACAGTGGAATTATTTTGAATCTAATTTGTCTAATCGATGCCTCCAATGAACACTAACTACTCTAACTCAAACTTTTAAAATTTTCGTTTTTCACACAAATTGCTTCACTATGCTAAAAGTATTACAATTAATCATTATTGATGGGGTTTGAAACAAGAGTAAATCAGCTAGTTACACAAAAAAACCATAAATATATCTGCAATAATAAAGATTTTATCAACTTTTTCGTTTAAACGCTCCTCCTGTAAAACTACGAATTTGGAGTTAGCGTAGTGTTCATTGGAGGCATCGTAATATAAGATTTAATATATGCAAATGCAGAATTAGCTCTAAAGAATATGTAATATTGCAAAATTAAATTTTTCGTTTCGTGACTAAGTTCTTTTTTGAAGTGAAACTTCCTTATCGGCGTTGGAAAAAAATTTACCGTCACATTTTTCGGTTACGCGTCACTTTTTTCCGTTACGCGCCATCTGTTTTGTATTCATGTCTATGATAATAAAATCCTTTTGTTTAAACTTTATCTAATTTAACTTTTTTGTATTCATGTCTATGATAATAAAATCCTTTTGTTTAAACTTTATCTAATTTAACTTTTTTGTATTCATGTCTATGATAATAAAATCCTTTTGTTTAAACTTTATCTAATTTAACTTTATTTAACCAATTTCTAGAAAGTTGCATGTAGATCATTTTTCGAAAAATAAGGCCATAAACAAGTTTCACTTCTTACGTGTGTACACTAGTACACGCACACATTTTTTTTTTTAATGCCCTTGTAGGCAGACGAGCATACGGCCCACCTGATGGTGAGTGGTTACCGTCGCCCATGGACTTCAGCAATGCCAGGGGCAGAGCCAAGCCGTTGCCTACCGAAGTGTTCTAATGTTAAATATGCTTCACCGACGGTATAAAGTACTTTAACTTCAAGGCTTACATTACCATGGCATTCATGCAATTTACGTGTACGAAAATAAATACCTTATTTACCATTTGTCGGCGAACTTCTGACGTCACAGCGACCACTTCTCGACACGTCGTGATTGGCGTTCAAACACCAAATTATGATGCCATTATCAAATGCTGTTTTTCTCACATAAGCTTTAACAAAACCGGTCGGGTAATTTATAGTTGGTGCAAAAAATATTGTACACAATTATCAACCGTAGTCTGAAGCTGCATTAAAGAAAGATGGTCATGTAATCAATGCAAAAAAGTTATCGCATCTGGTCTTGTGGTCCGTAATGTATATATAGCTCAAACCCAATCTGGAACTAATCAGAGAAAAAACTCAAATTTGAACCGCGGATCAGAAATGCGAAGTAATATCTGTATTCAGTACAAATCATTCGTTACAAAAAAAAGAGAGTGATCTCCCGTTTTATATGTGTACGAGTATTTGTGAAGAATTGAAATATAAAATATAGATCAAACAAATAAAAACAGAGCTTATCGCCTTCGATTGTAAATAAACTAAAAATGAAACTATCACATAAATTTTACCTAAACTATTTTCTTTCACAGAGATATATTTTGCTCCGAATGTTATCTAAATCACCCCAGCGAACAGCAAAGGTGTTTCACGAGAACTATATTATATATTATGTAATACATAATTTTAAACAAAGGTTTTAAGGCTTTTGAGGATTATGAGGCTTATTTCAAGGATTTTGCGATAAATCTTTATTGATAACTGCAGAACATCACTCACACCTTGCTGTGTATGCAATTTATTATTAATTTATTAAATTAATTATGAATAATAAAAAATATCGATTCCGTTGAAATACTGATATACCTGTCGTACTTTAATGAATGAAATCTTCTATTGGAGTGCTAAGAGCAATTAATTGTACCAACTTTTATCGCAAGCAATGGCTTAGGAAGGAATACATAGAATAGACAAATGATGCATTTTAATTTAGCATAAAATGTTAGTTAATTTAATGGAGAGATTGGATAGTGACCGTCCCCAAATCCGAACGGAACTTGAATGAAAGACACACTGGTGGTAGGACGTGTTGTGAGTCTGCACGAGCAGGTACATCCACCCTGCCCATTTCTGCCGCGTAGCAGTAATGCGTTTTGGTTTGAACGGTGTAATAGCCGTTGTACTGTAAAACTGAGACTTAGAACTGAAGTCCCCAGGGCGGTGGCGGCGTTTAAGTTGTTGATATCTATTGGTCCCACTGGGTAATGGTCCCGATGGTAACCGCTTAACACCAGATGGGCCGTTAACTCGTTCTATCCATTTAAATATTAAAAAAATAATGTTTTATTTTATTTAATGTACCCAATATAATCTTTAAAAGACAGCTAACGAAGTCTGTTCGATAGAGACCGTAGGGTCCACACGTCAACTGCTTAGAACACTATTTTTCCTTTTGAATCATCACCACCTCTGCTACGTACATATCTTTATTTTCGAGAACGATTTTTATGCATCATTTGTAAAATCATATGTACGCGTTGGTCTTAACATAAGCGTTCGAAGATATTACATCGTGGCTATGTATGTGCATTTGATTGAGTTTCTACCGATTTTATTGTGAGGGCATTTTGTGAGCACGACGTGTGTGAAATGATAGCAAAACGTGGGCGGTATCAAACCAGTCGAACTGGTAAAGGAAATTCTATTCTGAATTAAAAATGGTCAAAGTTGTATTCGAAAATGTGAATTGACTTGGAACAAACTGATGAGGTGAATCAAACCGGATTTTCCTCAATATATGTGGATGAATTAACTTCGAACGTACATTTAGAGGTCCGTGGTCACTATACGTTTAATAATAAGTATAATAATATGCATGAATTAATTTGGAAAAATGGAGAGAGCTATGCTGAGTATTTTTTCCGTACCCAGTCGCATCAGGTTTTTTTTATTGCTTAGAGAGGTGGACGACTTCACGGCCCCTCGGTGTTAAGTGGTTACCGGATTCCATAGACATAAAAAAACGTAAATGCCGCGACTGACCTTGAGACATGCGTCCCTAGTCTCGATTTTATAGTACAATGACTGTCAAACTGTATAAAGCAAAACGCATTACTGCTTCACGGCATAAAATTATAGCGCATAGATCTAAATTGTGAAATAAAAGACGAAACCAGCAGCATTTTCGTCTAAGCCATGATTCTAATTAGTGAGGAAACTTTCCACGCGCTTTTTAATATTATTATACTATTTCAGACGTTTCATATAATAATGCACAGTTAGTTAAAAATGTGGGTGTATATTTTCGATAATCAGACGTTGCGAGGCGCTTGTAATAAAGATAGGTAACTGATAAGATCGTTCAAACCACAAAATACTTCTGCACTTAAGAGCTTGTCAATTTGTTCAAGTAGTGTGTTTATGCAGTGCCACGTGTTGCTCCACTGATACATTATATATTCGTATATCTCATAAAACCAATTAAATAAATATATCTCTTGAGAAATCGGTAGGGTAGGTAGGAGAAATATGGGAGAACCTAAATATGATTTGAATGAATCGTAATTGAAAAATATCGCAGTGTTTTACAGTATTTTCAAAAAAAGCAGATAATCTGTATCTGTAATCTTTCACACAAGCAGATAATATGTCTGCATCTTCTAATAGAACTAAAGCTATTGTTCTCTTCCTTCGTGTTTCATATATCCCCTTCGGACAAGATATCCTAGATAAATTCGCCTAGCAAATTGTTGCACCTATAAAAATAGTTATCAATTTACGAGCAGTTGATCTATTGATCTTGCTTCCGATAAATATCAAACACGCGTTAAACTCGTGAGAACCATAGCGCGTACGATTCTGATAGAGACGGTTAATGTGGCAAAACCTCGATTAGAGACAGTTGAATGGCGTTGTACTAGTTGCCAGCGATAGATGCGACCCGACCTGCCCTGTCCCCAGATAGACAACAACGTGCCAAATGAAACCTCACATAAGGAGCGTGTTTTACCGATTTATATTCGAAAATGCCTCACCAAATCAGATGAAGCGGTCTTCCTAAATATTACTGGTATTTCTTGAACAAATGTCTCGATGTTATGACAAGGATAACATCGATTGTAATAAGCGTCGGTCAATACCATTCGGTTTCACATCTTGTTCGGTTTATCGTTCATGAAAACTGTCACCGAGCTGCTATCTGAATCCTGATTGATAACAGAATGGTCAACACAAAAGCGGGATGAGAACGCGTGGCAACAAAGGAACAAAGCGACTGCATGTCACAACCAATTAGTCATTCCGTTAGTTTTGTTTGCTTATTACAACATACTGTTTATGGTCAAAGCTTCTAGTCGTCAGCTGCTGACAATGACTGTTCTTCCCTCGTGCAACCGGCTCAACATCCGCTGGTTCCGATAAACGTGTGAGTCAACGGCGGTCGGTGCGGGTGCCCGCGATCAGCTGCACGCATCGATCCCGGTGCTCGCTGTGCGGATCATTCATGTTGTGACCGCTAATCGTATTGACAGCGGGTCGCAATGAAGCACGCGCTTGACATCGCAGTGCTCGTCCGGCAGTCTTAGTCGCATCTCGCGCCGGTAAGGTCGCTTTCGGAATCCGACCTCGACCTCGCATAACCGTTATCAACCGTTGTCAGTGGATATTTGTTGTGATCAATATTGAAACATTACCCGGAAGGTTTAAGTAAGCGTCTTTAATCAACGCGTAAATACATTCTGTGACTTACTCATCATTGTCCTGGTTGTTTACAAACTGTCATCGGTGTTATGTCGCTGATAAGTGTTAGGTCTGTTACGGAATTTTTCTTATTTTGCCTTTCGAACACTTTGGAACAATTATCGTTTAGTTTTGATAAAAATAGCGCCCTCGATTGATGAGTTGTGATTGAAAACCGATAATAGTTGAAGTTACCTTCGCGGTGTGCGGGGTTTATAAAATGCCGGTGCTGGGCTACGAGATAATGACGTCTCAAGAAATTTGCCCGATGGGATACAGTGCTGCGTCGGAGTACATGGTCCCGGCCCACGTGTGGGAGAAGCAGCACAACGCTCCCTACAGCGACTTCCAGTCCAGAAGCGGAGGAGCAGACCACCGCGGGATCAACGTGACATACAACAGCGAAGGTTTGTTGACATTCGAAACGCTCGTGTCAACTGCCTCCATTTGTTTGTTTATTTAGTTCATACATATCGCGGACGCAAGCCAAATAATGTTTTTACTAATGCTTTTTATCAAGTACTTAGTTATATCATGATAAATGACATCGGGTGGGCTTTAGATAGTAAGTGATATGTTTGAAATTATGTGTATGTAGGTATGTATAAACAATAATATGTAATAATACTTTAACGATGAGTTCGTTCTCAACTACTGTAACTACTTTAAAACTTTTGTTTTTGTATGACACAGACCTACATTTTATCTCCAAACGACATTTATGTGACACACTACTGGATAGTGGATTGCTAGCACTAAGTGTGGCGCGCAATTCGACCCGCGACAAATTTTGGATAAATAATGGGTTTTTTGAATTATGAAAAAATATATATCGATTGTTGATGATACATGCGCCATCGACTATCGTGAATAATAAACATATTTGAAGAGCAATTGTAAGCATTGGAAACCGAAAAATGTGGCAATTAGGAATTTTTGGGATTCCATTCCGAACAACTGCTAATTATACCTAGTATCGATTTGGAATATGGAAGTGTATATTGTACACTATACGTTAATATGATACAATCGAATAGGATCAATTATGACGAGTAAACTCATCGAGTTTGTCTTATCGATTACTGTTTATAGCCCATAAGTTTTTTTAAGTATCTTCAGTGTGTTTTTGTTTAGTTTGATAATAATATAAACATACACTTTGTCTTCGTTCAGCTTCATCAAAACCCGCAAGCGTTATTTTTGTTACCGGTTGTAGTTCGCGATGCCAACAACTGTTTTAATAAACATCAAATGCATTCAGAAAAATATTCGATATGTATAATAATAAAATAATCGATACAGATTATTTTATTGTTATTTAGTTAGATAAAATAATCGATATAGATTACGAACTATCATCATCATCAGCCCACATCGTCCAGTCCTAATCCACATAACTGAGCCCGATCTTCGGCTCTCCCCATTCACTTCTTGTCGGCCAACCATCGATGGCCATCGCACCACCTAGCCAGGGGGCGTCCTAGGTTTGTTTGCCGCAGCGCAGCATCCATCGATCATCAGTTGTACGCATATATGGCCAGACCTCTGCAACTTAAGCTTGCTGACTCTCAAAGCTATGTCGATGACTTCAGTTTTCTGTGGAATAACCCATTCCTGATTTTATCCTTCACAGAAACTCCGAGCATGGCTCTTTATATTGCGACGTTGGGCTGACGGACTAACCACACTGTGAGTGGCCACGTCTTGGCTCCGTAAATCCTAACCGATAGGGCGCACTTGTTTCGATCTCAGGCAGAGGGGTAGTGAGATGAAAAGACTCCGCCATGAGGACTATGTCATTTGCAAACCACAAGTTTGAGATGTGCTGTGCGTTAATATCTATGCCCATCTTTTTCCAGTCCAGCGTCTTAAACATATCCTCTAATGCGTTATAGTAAACAGTTTCGGGAAAATTACATCCGGTTGTTTCACTCCCCTACGCAATTAGGGTTAGACGGCTCATTCTCTACTCTAACATTCATTGTGGCAAAGTTGTAGAGGCATTTCAAGACCTGGACATAGTCACGTTCTACTTGGCATCATAGCAAAGAGTCCAGCGCAGCCCAGGTCTTGATGGGGTGAAAAGTCTTCTCATATACCACTAATAGTAAGCACAGGGGCCGAATATACTCTGTGGACGTTTTGTATAATCTCCCGTACTGTGTTTATGTGGTTCATGGCGTCATAATCACTCCGGCCTGCCCTGAGATTTAAAATTTTGAATTATATTCGAATTCAATTCATCAGCTAATAAGATACGCGTGGTATACGGTCAATAACTACTGTTAATAAACATGCAAGGAACATAAATGATTAAACTTTAAGTTGATTTTTTGCAACGCGGTTGATGTAATTCCACTCAAATATTAACGTCATGTTCCAACGCGTACACGCTAATACAAAAACTAATTATATTAGTGAATATCTAAAAAAATATCCATACGAAAACCATTGTATTCTTTGTACTTGTTCAATATACGTAATTATTACGAAACAAGTAATATATTTCCTCATTTACATAGAGCTTGACTCAACATTATCGGGAAATATTATATTAGCAAAATATAGAGAGCGGGAAGTCTTAAATCGAGGAAGAAACCAATATCATCATATCATCAATATCATATTAATCAAACCGATTTAAGTCAACGAAAAATAAATAAAAAATCTTATCGAGACATTTGTCCTTATCAAATATTATGTCACCTTTATTATGTATTATACACAAAAAGAAATGACGCCTGTAATCTCGTTTCCAATATGACCTAGGTACCATAAAGCATGAACCGTTGGAATATTACCGAGAACAACAAATTAATTAATAATAAAAATGATTAGTCATCTCGTGTAGGGTGGCAGCACTGTTTTCAAAGTTAGATTTGTTGTGTATCGATTTCATGATTGTGTAGTTAATTACTTAACAAAAAGCTTAATATTGCCAGGTTTACTATCGTTTATTTCAATGCAGTAAAATTTAAAAGATATCTGCTAAAATTCGAATAATAAAGGACTGGTAATATGTGTAGATAACACAATTCAATATTCATCAAACTCCCGCTTACGTATTCTAGTGATAAAGTAAGAACTTAACAAACTCCCGCCTTCGTATCTTATATGATAGAATATGATTATCGCACAGAACACCGTTGTTTTGGTCAAATCTATCTAATATCATCACAAATAAAGCAGCAATGTGTTTCGAAGGTTTGAAGGGTGGGGCAGCCCATGTAACTATACCGAGACCTTAGAACTTATATCTCAAGGTGGGTGGCGCATTTACGTTGTAGATGTCTATGAGCCCCAGTAACTTAACACCAGGTGGACTGTGAGCTCCTCCATCCGTATAAGCAATCTTCTATCTATCTATATAATAATATATAAAAATGAACTGCTGTTCGTTAGTCTCGGTAAAACTCCAGAACGGCTGGACCGATTTGGCTAATTTTGATCTTGAATTATTTGTAGAAGTCCAGAGAAGGTTTAAAAGGTAGATAAATATGAAAATGCTCGGAATATAAATAAAAATAACAATTTTGTTTTCCCTATGATGTGTCCCCCGTCGGACGGATTCCTTTTGTTTGTTTTAAGTTTATTTTACACAAAAGTTTAGGTCTTTTATTTATCGATGGAGGCACAACGAAGTCTGCCGGGTCAGCTATATTTATATGTCTGTATTTGTGTTGTTTCAGATAGTGATATGCAGCTGGAGACGAGCAGTAGCGAAGCAAGCGCAGCCAGTTCCACGACCATATCCCAGCATTGCGCCATCTGCGGGGACAGGGCGACGGGCAAGCATTACGGTGCCTCGTCCTGCGACGGATGCAAAGGATTCTTCAGACGGAGCGTGAGGAAGAACCATTTGTATACATGCCGGTTAGTGTTGACTGTCGCATATGGGTACCATTTTTGATTGTCACCCTAACAGACCACACGTTTATTGTAACATACTATCTGCCTTTCATACCTAAATTGATAGTGAATTTGAGACTAGGATAGTCTTACCGAATGTTTTCGAATTTTCTGATGGTCTAAAACATTTTGAAATTCGTCGTGGCCAAAAAAATAGGACGCCCGGTGTTTACTGGTGGTAGGACCTCTTGTGAGTCCGCGCGGGTAGATACCACCGCCCTGCCTGTTTCTGCCGTGAAGCAGTAATGCGTTTCGGTTTGAAGGGTAGGGCAGCCGTTGTAACTATACTGAGACTTTAGAACTTATTTCTCAAGGTGAGTGGCGCATTTACGTTGTAGATGTCTATGGGCTCCAGTAACCACTTAACACCGAGTGGGCTGTGAGCTCGTCCATCCATCAAGGCAATAAAAATAAAAAAATAAAAAATGTTAACGAATTTAACCCACGTTGGAGAATAACATGGTGAAATATGTTTCGAATATTACTATCAGGGGCAAGAGAGTGAGGTGCGAGCACACATTTTCTTTCTCTCTTCCTCTCATAGTCAGTGCATGCAAATATATATCTCAGTCAGGAGATCGTTTGCGAGTCAATAATTAATTATTAACGTTAATTACCACACTAATTACTGATGTATCCGATAACGATCCAGTAATAGTCATAGCGAATCGTGACTGATTATCGCTGACTGTTTTATTTTCAATCTTGTCCTTGACTGACTCGGTGGTGTAGTAGTTAGTAGTAGTATGTGTATGTGTAGTAACTGTTGCACCGAGGATCGTGGGGTCGATTTCCACATCGGGCAAACATTCATGTGACGAGCAGATTTGTTTCCTCTTTGTCTGGATGTTTATTATGTTTATATGTATATATTTACACATATATATGTTTGTCAGTCTGCTGATACCCACAACACGGGAACATGGACGGATGATCATGTGCGATTTGTTCTCGGTTATTATCTATATATTAATACGTGAAGCAAAAACTTTGTATCCCTTTTTACGAAATTTGCGCGGACGGAGGAGTATGAAATTTTCCACACTTATAGAGAATATAGAGAAGAAGTGCACAATGCTAATATTCTTTTAAAATAATGCATAAAAGATACATTAAATCAATAAAGAAAACATTACACACACTACATACCATGAATTTGACGCACACACGCATGCATACTATTTATTGTCAAACTTTTGTTCTTGACGTCTGTTGTCAAATTGAGATTAAATATTGTTTGTCTTGGTTAATATTTTTTATAGTGTGGTCTTGGCGAAATTTGTGATTATAGAATTTTAAATTCAATCATAATAGTGTACAAACTTACATTTCCAATGAATTATAGTCGAATTTCGACTACTGCGGGACCTCTAGTAATTATTATTATATCTTTAAAATGGTCGTATTGATATAGTTCGTTAGAACCAATGTGAAAAGGTGCAATCGTGGATACGACTATGTAGCCTGTTTCGGGAACTGTGTTTGTGAGTAGTTTTATTGACCAGCCTATTGGCAGGAGCGACTGTTTCCGACACAATGCCGGCCGGTTCGGGAAATCAATTAAAGCCAGACGAGGCAAATCGATCACCTTGTTTTCCTCTAATATATTATTGCCCGTCAGTAATGACACTTTAAATTAGTAAAACAATTACGTCAAAACTGTGTTTTCGTTACGATAGACTTGCAACGGGAATTTGCCTACTTCATTACGAAAATAATGTTTAATTCTTAATAAAGTTTGGTTGTTGATTCATCGCCTGTCGTCTAAAGTTTGGTTGTTGATTCATCGCCTGTCGTCATCAATCTGTCGAGAGCTCTCGTAAGTTAAGTTAAATTCAATTAAATCTAAAGAACTTTTCCGAGAATACATTCACCTCAAAATGTACCACCGGTTTCACGTTTGAGAGAACATATAGGTTACGTAAATTTTAAAAAAATTGATTTGTTTATAATCTCTTGTGTAAGAATCTAAAAAAAAAATTTTTATAATTTTTTTATAGGACTTTATTTACAATAGTAGATGTATGTGTGTATGTATATAAATGCAAGGTAGTTTAATAACCTAGAAGTATATATTATTATCCGCAACACGCTTCGTCAGATTATAGAAACAAGAGTTATCAGCAACATGCTTCGTCAAAAAGTACAATACTTACTTTCCGCTACAAGGGTCGTCATAAGTAACCTATAGGTCAATATATTGTATCGAGCAATGCGACTATGCTGGCAATTATAACAGCAAGTGCTTTATTTTTCTATCTACCACCTTGCTAGTAAGCTCGAGGAGTAATACTAGGTTCACGGGGCTCTCAACCTGGGAGACTATCATCGGCTATCCTGCAAAAACGAAATTGAAAGACTGGTAGGATGCTTATGTGAGGTTGGGTCCGCGTGAGCGAATACTACACTAGCATAAGTCATGTCCGAACTTAGTTTCTTAACTTAGAACTTAGATGTCCACGATTGAAATGCACGATTAAGGAATTTTGTAAAAAATTAAACCAGCAAATATTATTTACAATTAGCGTAATTGTAACTACTGGTGGTAGGCAGCTTTGTGAGTCCGCACGGGTAGGTACCACCACATTGCCGTACCGTGCTATATACATCAGGCATCTAATCCTTTAAGCCAAAAGCGAATTAGGAAAGTATGTGTCTAAAAAGAATAAACACAGACCGCAGATAGACCTGGTTTCTGAAATATGCTCATTATGAAGAGCGTTTAACAATGCTTTAATTCTGACACTTCTTAGACTGTTTTAAAGGGAGTAGTGGTCGCACGGTAGTCGAAATTTGACTATATATAATTAATTTAAATTATAAGTTTGAACATTATTAACGGTTTATTGTCAAAGACTATCATAGACCTCTACGAGTATAATAACAAATTTCGCCAAGGCTACACAATCTATACTATAATAATATTATAAAGAGGAAAGATTTGTTTGTTTGTTTGTTTCGAATAGGCTCCGAAACTACTGGACCGATTTGAAAAATTCTTTTTCCATTAGAAGCCGACATTGTCCCTGATGAACATAGGCTACTTTTTTTATTTTTTTTTGTTATTTTTTTTTTTGTTTCATGTGTGTTTTAATGTTTCCGAAGCGAAGCGAGGGCGGGTCGCTAGTAGATAAATAATATTGAAGACACACATTATTAACCTGTTCTGAATTTGACCACAGACAAGAAACAAAAGAGTATATATGCGCGTGTGTGTTTTTGTTGATTTAACGTATTCTTTATGTATAATTTTAAAAATAATTAGCATTCTGCACTCCTCTATATTCTTTATAAGTGTGGGGAATTTCATACTCCTCCGTCCACGCAATTTTCGTAAAAAGGGGCACAAGTTTTCTTCTTCACGTATTAATATACAGATAGATAAAATGAATTCTTGATAACATGCAAATAGTTGTGTATATATGTATATCCAAAACATCTGTTTTTTTATTGTGTTACGAACAAATAAAGGAGATTTCATATAAAATTATTCCCCTTTGGTTTTTTCAAATTATCCGCTAATTTCTATTACAACAGCGTACTAAATAGAATTCGCATCAAAATAAAACGCTAACGTGTGTAATTCACATACGTACTTAACATGCATATAGTATAATTCAGAATGATACTTCAACATGTGCGAACGATTTATTGTTAATAATTCATAAATTTTATTTTACATCTGTTATATAACAAACATTTTATCACTATAGCTTAGCTTCCAATATACTTGCGATACTATATCTGTTTGGTGTTCTTTGATTATATAACGACAAAATAAAATTAAAATATTTACATAAATATAATATTTGTAACTATACTTGAGAACTTAGAACTTATATCATCTCAAGGTATGTTACGCATTTACGTTGTAGATGTCTATGAGCCCCAGTAACCACTTAACACCAAGCGGGCTGTGAACTCGTCCACCCATCTAAGCAATAAAATAAATAAATAAGAGAAACGACGGAACAAAAATTCTATAAACAACATTGTGTTGCCACAACGTCTTAGCGTTGTTTAATAATATACAATTTTTGTAACATTTGCCTACATTTGTTTAACGATTACTTTAAATGCGATAAAAAGTTACATAATTAATCAAAAGTGGATTGTGCGTGTCTATAAAAGAACTAATTAACACTCATAAGTTCTCAATCCCCCTATAAGGGTCGGAGCGAGCAATACGAGGAATTCGTAATGTGGTACTGACGGAAAACGCTACCACGGTCACTGCGGACGACACAATGCTTCACGTCCTTACGGATCCATCAGATCCAATAACCTTTGCATTAGACGCCTTCAGCTCTAACACTAGGAGCAGGCATAGGAATCCCGGTAACCGTACTCGTCGAACTCGACAAAGAGGTCGACGTGCAACCGAACCCATGCATCAGCTCGCCGAGTTTCTCGCCGGATCTTCTCAGCGGGTCGCGATTCCGATCCGGTAGTAGATTCATTCGCGAAGCAGTTGCTCTTGAGTTGTTAGGTTTCCTTCGGAGGCGCTCGGGCAGGTGTCAGCAAATCCCACCCTTTCTGGCTGAGCCTTTGCTCACTCAACTGTCCTGGTAAAACCTGATAAGTAATCCTAAAAAAAAACGACACAATGTATAAATCGTCTATACTTAAAGGACACCATTTGCCTCGTAGAATTCTCGAACTTTTCAGAGATATTGTCAGAAAGGGAGGAGAATATTCTAGAAACAAAATACTACAGACAAGTGGAAAGAAAGGGACTATGAATATGTATTCCTATGTCCTGAGTTAAATAAATATTCGATCGAATATAATACATGAAAACATTATTCGTAGGGAGCACGATCCTTCAGTTCACGAAACAGCGGCTAACAATCTTGTAATATTATAGAATAGTAAAATCATATTTCTCAGTTGGTTTCGTGGTCATAGATTGTGCCAAACGATTTCAAGGCTATTATCTGTTATCATAATTTAAATAGATCATTATCACTGTCTAAAATAAAGTAGATGATGACCGAGCTTTGCTCGTTTTTTTTTTTTTGATAACGCCATCTTATTGTGTCTTTAAAGCGGTTAGTTGCCCTCAATTAAGAAAAATAGTATTATTATTCGCCAACAGATGTCGGGAAGAGTTGATTATTGAAAACGCGAATAAAACAACATTTTCTGAAAATAAATCGTAGCTAGATCGATTTATCGCCCCCGAAATTCCCTGTATACTAAATTTTATGAAAATCGTTGGAGCCGCTTCCGACATTCAGATTATATATAGACAAGAATTGCTCGTTTAAAGGTATAAGATAAGATAAGATAAAAGTTTAGACAATTCGTCCAGATACCCCTATTCAAATAGTACATGACATGACCACAGTATTGCCGAGATATATGCCAAACTAAAAGGTTTGTGAATTTCAATAATTCCACTGGTAGTCTTATGAGTCTATGAACCAGAATGAGACAAAATACAAAAAACTACCAATAAAGAATAATGAGTTCTGCAAAATAAAATGAGAACTTCATCCAATGTAGTAAATACTGGAATACTGATCCTGATTAAATTTAATAGGATCACACGACAATCATCAGTTTTCGAACAATAAAAGGATCATTAAAATCGGTTCGCCTAGATGTAACACACAAAAAAATACAAGAGAACCTCTTCTTTTTTTTGAAGTCGGTAAATTAAAGAAAAACACATCTATTCTATTATCGAATAATCAATTTGGTATGCTTTATTTAAAATTGATGCGATCGCAAATCTTACATTTGATTATTACGCGCGCTTACACAATACAATGGTAGAAGATTACCGAAGGTGTGTCCGTACGTCAGAGATAATTTCGGATCGAAAATAACTACTGAAGCTTGTGCGTCACTAAGCGTTGCGTGTTTTTGTCGGGAGTCTGTCGTTTTTTTTATTTATTTATTATTTTCGACTTCGAAATAGTAAGAAGGTGTATTTCGAATTAGATATTAAACGTAATGTATGTATACTTAGTCTGGCCATTAATACTGTTACAATTAAAAATAAACAATATATTACATTTGAATTTGGAATCTGTCATTTTTATATGATTGCTCATTGAGTTTTCTCATTTTGGCGCCAATACATTGTACAATATTTTGCGATATTAGAATGGAGTGGGGTGATAAAGAGAACCGAATCGCTGTGATTGCATTACACAAAGTAGGTACGGAGCCAAATGCAATTTTTAAAACTCTCCATACCCTTGGTATTAATAAAATGTTTGTGTACCTGGCTATTAATAGGTGCAATGAGACCTCCTCTGTATGTGACAGAAAAAGATCTGGCCGTCCACGTAGTGTTCGTACGAAAAAGGTGGTCAAGGCAGTAAGGGAAAAAATTCGAAGAAATCCTGTCCGAAAGCAAAAGATTTTATCTCGGGAGTTGAAGATAGCACCTAGAACCATGTCGCGAATATTAAAAGAGGACTTAGTACTTGCAGCCCATAAGAGACGTACTGGTCATTTCTTAATTGATAATTTAAAAGAGAATAGGGTGGTAAAATCGAAACAACTACTGAAGCAGTAAGCAAAGGGAGGTCAAAGAAAAAAAATTTTTCGGATGAGAAAATTTTTACAATTAAGCAACATTTTAACAAACAAAATGACCGTATTTATGCTCAAAGCTCTAAGGAAGCTTCCCAATTAGTCGACAGAGTGCAACGTGGGCACTATCCGACTTCAGTGATGGTTTGGTTGGGTATTAGCTATGAAGGAGAGACTGAGCCATACTTTTGTGAAAAAGGTATCAAAACATCGGCACAAGTGTATCAAGATACCATTCTTGAGAAGGTAGTGAAGCCCCTTAACAACACCATGTTCAATAATCAAGAATGGTCCTTCCAGCAAGACTCGGCGCTAGGTCATAAAGCTCGGTCTACGCAGTCTTGGTTGGAAACGAACGTTTCGAACTTCATCAGAGCTGAAGACTGGCCGTCGTCTAGTCCCGATCTTAATCCGCTGGATTATGATTTATGGTCAGTTTTAGAGAGTACGACTTGCTCTAAACGCCATGATAATTTGGAGTCCCTAAAACAATCCGTACGATTGGCAGTGAAAATTTTTCCCATGGAAAGAGTGCGTGCTTCTATTGATAACTGGCCTCAACGTTTAAAGGACTGTATTGCAGCCAATGGAGACCACTTCGAATAAGCTTCTTATACTTTAAATTGGTTTATGTTTATGTATTAAACTAACACACTGTAAAAGTAATAAATGTTATTTGCCATAGATTTTTTTTTGTTTTCCATTGTAACAGTATTTATGGCCAGACTAAGTATAACGTATATTTAAATAATATTTTCTTTATTTTAAAATTCTTCTTTAAAAAGTGCTTGGCACGTGTGCTCACTGAATAATAGGAGAACGTAGTTGTCATAATAAATAAAACTGTGATAACAACACAAGTAAATTATGAATGAATTTGATGAATGTACGTTAACGATTAGACAACCAATTCCCAGTCAAATCAGTACCCCAATAGTCTTCTAAAAAACAGCACTACCAAATAATTTAGTTAAACACCGCACAATAAAGGCAAATTCTACAAATACTATTGTTACGCGCTGGGGTTCGGGATAACTAAAACTTCCACCGAAATTGTTTTTTTTGCCCTTGTAAGCAGACGAGCATACGGTCCACCTGATGGTGAGTGGTTACCGTTGCCCATGGACTTCAGCAATGCCAGGGGCGGAGCCAAGCCGCTGCCTCCCGAAACCTACAAATTAAAATTCTATTTAACGCTTAGAACACTTACAGATCACTTTACAATTTGTAATTCGCTGCAGGTGATCCGTTCGCTGTTTTGCTTCGAGTAGATCCGATTACTAAATAACTTCGTGTCATCTCTGCAACGCTTTTATAGTCGATACGACATCTCTACAATTATCGAGAACATTCCAGACAGGTCGAGTAGTTTCGATGTGTGTTTCCGCTATTTGATAATATATGGCGTTGTACTTCTCGACCGTTCTCGATTCTAGTTCTTTCGTTTCTGCTATTCGACGATAGATGGCGTTAGTCTTACCGGCGTAACACTATAAACTAGGCAGATTGATTTAAGGTTTTTTGTTTGTACCAATTTCGCATGGATAAACTCACGGCCTACCTGGTGTTTAGTGATTACAAGAGTCCATAGACATTACAACATGGATACCGTCACTCACCTTGGGGCATGAATTCGTAATATTTTATTGTTTAACGATAGTCAGCGGCAGTCTGCTATTTCTTATCAGTTGACCCGCATGCTCGTCTGATTGACCATTCAACTAGTAAACATGAAGGCAATAAAAGAAAGATAAGATAGGAACCGTTATTGCAATTCTGTCAGCTTCGCAGACCGTTTTGTGTTTGTTGTTTATAAGTCCATGAGCCGTGAATCCCTTTGCCAACATAGACGCGTCTAAAAAAAAAACGTTTCGTTTACTTACAATAATATTTTCTTCGGTTTTAGCTAGTTGTAGACGTAATATACTGGTGGTAGGTGAGTCCGCACGGGTAGGTACTACCGCCCTGCCTATTTCTGCCGTGAAGCAGTAACGGGTTTCGGTTTGAAGGGTGGGGCAGCCGTTGTAACTACACTTGAGACCTTAGAACTTATATCTCAAGGTGAGTGGCGCATGTACGCTGTAGATCTCTTTAGGCTCCAGTAAACACTTAACACCAGGTGGGCTGTGAGCTCGTTCACCCATCTAAGCAATAAAAAAAACTACTTCATAATACGATGCAATAGTATTAGTTCATTCTGAATTGAAACATAAAAGTCTACTAAATAAAATATATTTATTGAAAAATATACGGTAGTTGGCCACTGTTGCCATTCTAATGTCGACGTATAAACACCTCAGTCGCCCGTGACGACGAAAAACGAAAAGTATCGAACCGTAATTAAATTAATAAAAACCACATTAAGCTCTAAAGTTTTAAACCGTTTAAGCGTCGAAAATAATAAAACGACAGTAAACAGGCGAGATTAAACCGAAAAAAGTATATTTAATTATCAACATAACATTATTCACGCCCACTTATAAACAAAAAAGAATGTTTGTTTGTTTGACCGTGTTCGATTCGTTCCACGCAGGTGACGCGTGTCTTGTTTAAACTAATTTGTGATATTCCTTATATTTACTTATCGGCTACAATTTATTTAATCTATACATATAAATAAAATTGGAGTGTCTGTTTGTAATATTGAAATAACCGCTTTTTACTACATGCATATGAATATATATACGGTACATACACCAAAATAACATTTTTTGCAATTTTTGTCTGTCTGTTTGTTTATTCCGGCTAATCTCTGGAACGGCTGGACTGATTTTGACGGGACTTTCACTGACAGGTAGCTGATGATATAAGGAGTAACTTAGGCTACTTTTTTTAGACTAGCTTCGCCCCGCGGCGTCACACGCGGTACGACAATAACCACGGGTAACATCGCGGGACTCAACCATCAATAATAAAATTTAATGTTTCCGAAGCGAAGCGAGGGCGGGTCGCTAGTGAGCAATAAAAATAAAATAATAAAGAATTTTTATTATCATTTGTTTCAGTTTCAGCAGGAACTGTGTAGTCGACAAAGACAAAAGGAACCAATGCAGATATTGTAGATTAAGGAAGTGCTTCAAAGCCGGCATGAAAAAAGAAGGTAAGCAACTTTTGCGAAAAATTACTTATAAATATTTACATGTCATTAAACTTACAACCTAGTGCCACGCGCTTCGTGTAGATGCTATGTACAACGTATTTATTTTTTTTGGTCTGGAGGAAATTGCCGGTCTGTTGTTTTTTTTTTTGGTCAGGAGGAAATTGCCGTTCTCCCACCCTCCACTGGGGGTGGCGGGTGGTGTATGTCGGACTCGAACCGACTAAAACCTCCTGTCGCTCAACAACCCACGTCCGAACCTCGAATGAGACAGATCTCATGAAAAAGCAAAGGGGGGAGAGTGAAGCGCTTAGTGCGGAGCACATCTTTCCCGTCACCCTCCCCCTCGAGACGCCGGACCACCAGCCCTCTCGGTCGGCAGGCTATCCGGAGCCCGCCTAGATGGCGCCGGTTAGAATGCAACGCCAGTTTAGCGTTTTTACTTAGATACACGTTTATAATGAAGTTCCGTGTTTATTAATTTTTATTTTCAATGATACTATGTATGTACAGATTGTATACAATTTTTTTTGTCTTCTATTTATTTACAGTATATTAATGTAGTATTCGTATCGGCATTACATAAATCGCGTAGGTACCCTTTGTAAAAATTGTAATCATATTTGAAACAGTTTACTCATATTTTTTGGCGATGCCTTAAACCATACGTTATTTGGTAAACAAATTAATTCAAAGGAAAAATATTTAAAAGTTCCAATCTCACACAATATGTACATTATGCGAATTGAAGAAACAAATAAACCTGAACAAAATTAAATTTATATTGAATACTGTAAACGACGCTATCAGGATAAGAGGCTGCAATATAAATTATGAAATTATAAAAAGATTAAATCAAATACGTATACTAAATTTTAATTTTAATTTTAAAAGCTTCATATCGGGAAAATCGCTTTTTACAACATTCCTACCGATCATAGATACTAAAGTTGTAAGATTTTATTTTTTAGATTATTTTAAGATATTATCAATATGTACATAGATTTTCATTATTGATAATATGCCTTTTGTTGAAATAAATAAGTCTAGAAGAAATAACAAGAGAGATAGTGATTCCGTCCATTCCGACTAGTAATACCATTACCATAATGACGTGGTAAGATAAACAAAACCGTCCAACTGATGGACACTGAACAATAAAGGCTGTCGTTAAACTTGAATCAAAGTTGAACAAATAATAATGTTGAGGGAAATATTATGTTTTTTGCGCGATCGTATCGTCTTTGACGAGAGAATTCCGGAAATAAACAGTTTGAGAATATTTATGGACTCTTCTGAGTTCTCGGTGAATGAAAAAAAAAGTTAATGTTATTTAAGTTTTTTGTTGTTGTAATATGCAACCTTCCACGTGTACGAGACTATGAATACGGGTAGGTTAGTCTGAGCTAGTAGAAACGCTAGCGGGTTAAACAAGGCAACAGATGCTATATGAATCAAAACAGATTGCTCATAGGTACTCAACCACCGGTGTACTACAGTGCTTGTCGACGTCGCCCATAACACGTGATTACGTATCCTCCCGATCCATTAACGGTGCTTTTAGGTACCACAAGCACCGGTCACCGTTCTCGTCGAACCCGTCGCTTGCGAGGAAGGGCTCGACGAACGAATTAACCCATAGACACAGCTCACTGAGTTTCTCGCCGGATCTTCACAGTGGGTCGCGTTTCCGATCCGGTTATTTGCTAGGGCCAGTGTTAACAACACTCCGGTTTGAGCTCCGTGAGCTCACCTACATGCTATGGCCAAGTTGAAATAGCCTCTCAAGGCTATCATATCAGCATAGGTAGGAAAAAAACCACTTCAAACCGGAATACATGACTGCTTCCCTGGCACAATGTTGATACTTACCCGTGTGGGATTCCATAATACGTACTATCGCCAGTAAATATCTAACTTCTTCCCTGCCTAATCGCTAGTAGCCTCAAGAGCATATTTCAGCTATGCATGGTTAGTTAGGCGATTTCACAGGCCTCAGCCTAACAGAAAATTCTACCACTAGCCCTAGCAAGAGCAGTGCTTCGCTGTAATGTCTTATAAACTTCGGTAGCCACTTAGTACCAGATGACAGAGTTAACATATATTTTTTTATAGCCCTTGTTGGCGGACGAGCATGCGGCCCACCTGATGGTGAGTGGTTACCGTCGCCCATGGACTTCAGCAATGCCAGGGGCAGAGCCAAGCCGCTGCCTACCGCTTAATACTCTCCACAAGCCTCGTTTGAAGAAGGACATGTCATAGCGCTCGGGAAACACCGTTTTAAAATATCCGCGAATGCGTTAATTGTATTATCTCAAAAAAAACAGCGGCAACTATACAATATTTGAACTGAAACAGATAAATGACACGGTTAAAAATACGAACAAATAAATAAAATCACATGCGTTTTTATAAAAGTATGTAATATAAAGAAAACTTACTACCAATTATAGTTATTTATCATGTACCATCGTCTCAATACGATATTCTGAATCGGTGATCACTTTGTTAGGTACAACTAATTAAATAAACAAAAGAGAAACATTATTAAATAACTCAATGCAGTCAACATAACATTGAGATAATTCTTTATCACTTTTTCATAATAAAAGTAAGGGCCGGGAGTGGTTATCGTACGCGATTTGCCTCTTTGTTTGATAGCAATGAAAGGTCCGCTTGCGTTGTCAATAATCGAACTGAATCGTTTTGTGACAAAAGTGCGTATATCATTGAGTGAAATACCAATGAGATTTTGAGCATTTCAAATGGATATATCCTCCGAAAGCCAACGCATCGGATGTGAGTTAGGGAAGAGAATTTTTTTTTTTATTGCTTAGATGAGTGGACTAGCTCACAGCCTACCTGGTGTCAAGTGGTTACTGGAGCCCATGGACATCTACAACGTAAATGCGCCACCCACCTTGAGATATAAGTTCTAAGATCTCAGTATAGTTACAACGGCTGCCCCACCCTTCAAACCGAAACGCATTACTGCTTCACGACAGAAATAGGCAGGGTGGTGGTACCTTCCAGTGTGGACTCACAAGAGGTCCTACCACCAGTAATTACGCTTATTATAGTGGTAGTGTGTGTTATGTTTTTTTATTGGTTTAATGTATTTACTATGTATAAATAAAAAAAATACATTCTGCACTCCTCTATATTCTCTATAAGTGTGGGAAATTTCACACTCCTCCGTCCACGCAATTTTCGTAAAAAGGCGTACAAAGTTTTTGCTACAATATAGATATAGCTAATATCTTGAAAGGGACTAATAAACACGTTACATAGTTCTTATAGTTATAATGTTAATATTGATTCATTAAGACTACTAACGGCTTAATGATCCATTTTTAATTGATCAAGCCATTTTATTATACAATTAAATTACAAAATGAGAAACTAATGCGACAATTAATAATAATAACCTAAAGCATATCTAATATATATTAAGCGGATATCCTAGCAGCATTATATTCATATAAGAAATTTCCACACCAACATTATTTATAAACGTTCTATCTGTGTAATTTGAACGCATAAGACATTTTATCAGTTTCAAGTAAACAACATTTCATAATTATGAACGACGCAAACATATTAATTAGAAATTAATCGTAATACACATATTTTAATTTATAAGTAAATAACGCTCATCAAACGTTTGTGGCATATTTATTTAGCACATGTAAGTAGAATAAAAACGTTTATCTACTCAAACAAATTAAATCTATACGGACACATGAGTTTTTATCAAAACTTAAAAAGTTGTAATTTTTTTTAAAACGAGATTTTTCGCTCTTCTAAATTTATCGAAACAGTACGATATAGTTAAACGCCATCTCTATTGAATATTCAGGTTTTTTTTGTTGATCTATGATGTCACGGTCAGGAGAAGGTTAATGCGTGATGTTTGCGACACACGTCACGTATGTATGTAACATCCGTGTTTAGAAAGAAATGCACTTAAAGCTGGCAACACAAAACGAGTTCTTCGATCGAGAGCCAATCCAAACAAAGTGACTGAAATATTTGCAGAATTTGGACCTTATCGTGCATACCGGCATAGCGCTAATATTTATTAACTGATGACAAGCCTTTTACTGGAAGCAGACCGTATTGTAAGTCCACGCGGGTCAGTTACCATCACACCATCCTGTCTATTTCTACCGCGAGGCACGTTATATTTTTTTCGATTGAGATATGAAGCCTTAACTCACTGAGTTCCTCGCCGGCTCACAGTGGGTCGATACTATGATTTTAGTGACTTAGGCATCAACTTTGTTTTTTTACATTTTTCTTTATGTAGATAGATAGAGCTCGTTAATCTAAATAATAATTGTTTTAGGCAAAAATTACAAAAACTTTATAGTTTGGTCAGAAAAATGTGTTTTGTGATTTTTTTGTATGGAGCGGGTCACATTAAATTAAATTCCTGCTAAGTACCGCGAGGTCCCGCTTTGAAACTNATGGGTATCATTACGTGCTTTTACTTACTAATCCATATCAAATTTAACTTAAAAGCACTTACGAAAAAAAATATAAAGGTTTTTATTCTATGTATTTATTCATTTTTTTCGATCCATTTATTTGGCAGAGTTGCAACTTTATGCACATGTTCATAGCATCAAATGATAGTAGACTAGACAAGGTGTAAGGAAAATAAAGTTTCAAAGCGGGACCTCGCGGTACTTAGCAGGAATTTAATTTAATGTGACCCGCTCCATACAAAAAAATCACAAAACACATTTTTCTGACCAAACTATAAAGTTTTTGAAATTTTTGCCTAAAACAATTATTATTTAGATTAACGAGCTCTATCTATCTACATAAAGAAAAATGTAAAAAAACAAAGTTGATGCCTAAGTCACTAAAATCATAGTATCGACCCACTGTGCGGCTCTTCTCAGTGGGCGCCGGTTCCGATCCGGTGGTAGATTCTGCGAAGCACTGCTCTTGCTAGGGCCATTGTTAGCAAACTCTCAGGTTAAGCCAGGTGAGCTTACTTATTTAGTCTACCAGGGAATAGTAATTAAAAAAAAGGAGCCTTTGTGTAGAGGCATTCACCTTGTGTAATCCACAGGCTCCGATAATAACTTAAGACCTGGTGCTCACCCGTCTAAGTATTTAGCAATAAACGCACATTGGCTAGTGGATTTGATGTGAACGGCAAGAGACCGGAAAGAATGGGGTGCATTCGAAGAGCACGAGCAACGAAGACCTACACCCAGCATTGAGTGGACACGGGTAGTTGAAGAGAAAAAAGAGAGGCTACTACAAAAATAATGTACCTACATATATTATAAAAAGAATCCGTAATGGAACCTGCGTCACTTAAGGCCATTTGATCATGTTAAATTGCTTACAATTGCATCTACCTGACTTTACTTACATAATAACTTATGTCCCAAAATACGTCTGTCTACCTTTTAAGAGACTAACCATATTTCATTGTAATCAAATCAACAACTAAAAATATCCTTATTCCGAAACCATTAATTATTCCGAGTACAATTGAATGTCATGTTTCCCATTATTATTAATTTCATTTAAAGTGATTCAATGAAATAAACAACAAACCATCGTGACGTCAAACATGTGGTATAAAATCAAAGACATTAATAAATTTTAGTTTCCGAGGAAATTATGTTTCCTCGTATTGACATTTGCTTTGAATTTTATATACTTGGGGAAGTGTCTCTGGGGTAGGAGTGGGTAATATCGGTTTTGCCGCGTATCGAATCGTATCTATATATCTTTTTTTTTTTTTTTTTTTTTTTTTTCNATCGAGTAATATCGTGTATCGGCTGATATCGTTATATAGATTTCGATTCACGAATCGGTACGATATGCCGATGCGCATCACATCGAGCAATATCGTGTATCGGCCGATATCGATATATAGATTTCGTGCGGGGCGATATCGGATTCAACGATATTGCTGCGATATATAGATATTGAATCTAGATACGATTTATATCGCCCACTCCTACTCTGGGGAAAAGCATAAAATCAAAATGTGTTTTATAAAAGCCGACCGTCCTGGTTTCCTTTATATAATCACGACTCTGATCACCGATTCGGAATGCAATTCCATCAATGAGAAAAGTCGGCGAGAAACTTGGAACAAAGCTTGAGTTTTTCATAACATAATAATACATTACATAATAATATGCTACCTACCATAGATAATACACATAAATTAGTTATAGATAAGCGACTCTGCTTGAGTCAATAAAAATGTTTACGGGCGTCGGACACTAGATGGCTTCGCTTCGATTTGTTTCTCATTGCTCCCGTAGATGGCAGTAACAAATTACCTATCCTATATTTTATTTTTAATGAAGGATTTTGTAAATTTTCAGAGACCACTAATTGATAAAATTTAATCAATTTGTCTCTAATAAATAAACAATTGTATGATTTTTTATTTTTTATTTTCTGTGTTTATTTTCACAATAATTAAATGCCTTAACTTTAACAACATATAAGTTTATGGGCATTCGCTACAAGATGTCGATAGTTTCCATACAAAAAAAAAAAAATCTTAAAGTATCGCAGTTTCAGGGCCCTTCTATACCTATATCGCAATCGGAGAAAAGTTACAAAATTACATAATCTAGTACATAATATTCACGTTTTTAGGTGGAAGAGCTCACGGCCCACTTGCTGTTCAATGATTACAAGAGGTCATAGATATCAACAACCTTAATAATACCAACATCCAATTTGAAATACTAGTTCCGAGTCTCAGTTTTATAGGACAGCGGTTGCCCCGAACGAAAACTGAAACGCATTACTGCTTACAGAAATCGGCAGGGTGGTGTTGTTACCCATGTGGGCTCACAAAACGCCCTACCACCGCTATGTTCGTAAGGCTGTTAACTCGTGTGTTGCTTCAATCTAAGCAGAACCAATATGAACCGGAGTGATAAGCGGTGTAAATTTCCATTGACATAGCGATTGACCCATCCTTCTAAATCAGATGGCTTGAATGATTTGCGGAATTCAACCTACCCACAGCTCCCGGATTCTCAGTTACTCTCCGGATCTCAATGGGTCGTGATTCCGATACGGTGGTAGACTCTGCGAGGCACTGCTCTTGCTAGGGGTAGTGTTAGCAAATTCTTTCAGGTTGAGCCCACGAGCTCACCTACCCTTCCGGGAATAGCTGGAATAGCCCCTTAGACTACCAGTGAATAGGTAGAGAAAGAAAAAAAAACCGCATACAAGCACACGATGTGTCCTATTTATCTGCATATTTCTTAGCAATATAAACCACTACTCACAAGACAACATTGAGTACTCACGAGCCCACTTGAACACACTTTGGTCTTGAATTAATTACCCTGTAATTATAAGGGTATATTTCCTACCAAGTAAACCACATGCTCGATGCATTTGTGCCTGAAAACTTTTTATTCATCTCAGCTCGCAGGCTGTATCTCCTCAGTTTACGTTATTGACAATGTCGATAAATCGCCAGATGGTTATTATTCATATATAATTAGTAAACAATTATGCACATACTGAGTACATAGAAACCGTTGCTTGAATCGAAGACAATTGGCAAAATTCGTAATAAAAGACGATAATGCCAAATAAAAATACGATTTTAAATTTTTTCTTAAATACTATATTCGACTTTTTTTTTATTGCTTAGATGGGTGGACGAGCTCACGGCCCACCTGTTGTTAAGTGGTTACTGGAGCCCATAGACATCTACAACGTAAATGCGCTACCCACCTTGTGATATAAGTTCTAAGGTCTCAAGTAAGTCTGCATGATGCTCTCCTAATGCCTACGTAAGACAGACTAAGGAAGATCATCAAAGATAAATTAATTTATATCTGATCGGTGGAATCAGGATCTTCAGAAATGAGAAAGACGACGCGAACAGGAGAAAGAGACCTATAACTACCAAACTCAAACATGCCAGAAAATTTTGCACGAAATTTTAAATCGACTGTACTTTTGGTATTGGTATTGGTAGGTAGCGGCTTGGTTCTGGTTCTGGCATTGCTGAAGTCCATGGGCGACGGTAACCACTCACCATCAGGTGGGCCGTGTGCTCGTCTGCCTACAGGGACAATAAAAAAAAACTTTTATTGTAAATAGTTGTTTTTAGTTTTATTAATAAGATTGTTATTAAGAATAATTTTGATAGTTCTATAGATCACAAGTATCATCCACTTGTTTCGTATGTTTGTTTATCTATACATACAAATAAAATTGGAGTGTCTGTTTGTTATATTGAAATAGCCTCTTTTTACTACATGTATATGAATATATATACGGTATATAAACTAAAATATCATTTTTTACAATTTTTATCTGTCTGTCCGTCTGTTTGTTCCGGCTAATCTCTGAAACGGCTGGACCGATTTTGACGGGACTTTCACTGATAGGTAGCTAATGATAAGGAGTAACTTAGGCTACTTTTTTTAGACTAGCTTCACCCCGCGGCGTCACCCGCGGTACGACAATAACTGCGGGTAACATCGCGGGGCTCAGCTATCAATAATAATAATATTTAATGTTTCCGAAGCGAAGCAAGGGCAGGTCGCTGTGGTATAATAAACACACAAGGTAATACTAATGACACCTCGATTGAGCGGGCTCCCATTAATCCATTTGGGCCTATATTGTCATCTGTCGGTTTTGTTAAATTCTAATGTTTCTTTTCAGCTGTTCAAAACGAAAGGGACAGGATCAACTGCAGGCGACCGTCTTACGAAGAACCGACGCAGGCCAACGGTCTATCTGTTGTATCGCTCCTCAACGCTGAACTCCTGAGTAGAAAAGTCATTGACGAGGTGCGTGATTAATTATTTAAGCTCGCTCTAAGCTTTTTTTTTATTGCTTGTATGGGTGGACGAGCTCACAGCCCACCTGGTGTTAAGTGGTTACTGAAGCCCATAGACATCTACAACGTAAATGCACCACCCAACTTGAGATATAAGTTCTAAAGTCTCAGTATAGTTACAACGGCTGCCCCGCCTCACCCTTCAAACCGAAACGCATTACTGCTTCACGGCAGAAATAGGCGGGGTGATGGTACCTACCCGTGCGGACTCACAAGAGGTCCTACCACCAGTAATTACGCAAATTATAATTTTGCGGGTTTCATTTTTATTACACGATGTTATTCCTAATTATTGTTGGTTTTTGTGAGAGTCTGACTAAAACGAGATGCTGTAATTGCAAGCCGAACTAAAAAGTTTTTAATATGCCCATCTTGGTTAGAAATTAGGTCATTGACCGGAAAGAAATGTACTATAATTAATCTTTCATAGGTGTGAAATTTTTCAAGTTAATCCGTGCACCTTGTTTTCTTTGCATAGAAATATGTACTATATACATATACTATTATATGTAGATCAAGCTAATATGCGTTTTAATGTGTTGAAAATCACTGAAATTTTTTAGTAGGTACTTTAATGAATGTTATCGAAAATAACGACCAATCGAATATGTATATATAAAACTGTGTTCATTATTTTAATACATATAACACACCTTAATAAAGGCATAATAAACATTTCTGTCGAAAGTATAATGTTAAATTATTAAGTAGGTATTTTGAGTTTTTACGGCAATTTCCGTACCGGCTTGCGTATTAGTCGAGAATCTACTAATCAAAGCGATCATTTTCTTTATGTTTTATCCATTTCTCGTTTGCAGACTGTAAACGTGAGCGACGCCGAAATAAACAATAGGAAGCTAGCAAAGATCAACGATGTATGCGATTCGATAAAACAGCAACTACTCATACTGGTGGAATGGGCTAAATACATACCCGCCTTCACGGAGCTGCATCTCGACGATCAGGTAAATTGAACTCTAGCATTCAACAAATACGTTCTATTTTAGATTTTAGTGAATTCAGTAACCCTCATCCGAAATACTGCAGTGAGTCAAGACATGTCAGTAACACACGACAATGAGTATTGGTAATTCATAATGGGACTTATCAGAATTAAACTGAAGAGAAATTGAGAGAGGTATAATCGGAAATTATCACGCGATCAAATCAACAATGAAAAGATACACAGGGTTATCCTGATAAACAGACAGGTCATTGTAGTGAATTTTGGAAGAAGCTTGTGTCCAGTAGTAGACACGTATTTAGGCTAATGAGAATGACATTCTGTAGCTCAAACCAGTAGTGTATATGGCCAGGTTTTTTTTGTCCTACCTAAGCTGGTAGCCTAGAGATGCTATGTCAGCGTAACCTAACAAGTAGATGAGCTCACGCGGCTCTAACCTGATGACTTTGCTAACACTAACACTAGCAAAAGCAGAGCTTCGCATAATTTACCGCCGGATCGGAAACGCGACCCACTAAGAAGATCCGGCGAGAAACTCAGCGGGCTGTGTCTGTGGGTTAATTTATTCGCCGAATCCTTCGTCGCAAATGTCGGGTTCGACGAGAACGATGACCGGGGACCGGGAGATTATTTTATTTACTAAGCCACCCGCCCCTCTAAAGTTTTTTGACCTAGTACTCTGCGATGATTGAAAGCTTGGGCGAACGGCATAAGGCTCATTTTAGCGTATGTTCCAATGCCGACATACGACTTTATCGACACTTGAAAATTTTACAACTTGACGATCTTGAACAACTCTTGAAACGACAAGTTTTTTTTTGGAACTTCAAGAGCAATAAAAGGATTAATAATAATTGGTTTAATATCAGTCGCAATCGAAACAAACTTCATACCGGTCATGTTATCAATAATGTCAGTGCATTGACAACCTGCCAACCGAGAGTACCCGTGAACCATAGACCTATATAGTAGGGACACGACATATTGTTCTATACGTACNCTCATCCGAAATACTGCAGTGAGTCAAGACATGTCAGTAACACACGACAATGAGTATTGGTAATTCATAATGGGACTTATCAGAATTAAACTGAAGAGAAATTGAGAGAGGTATAATCGGAAATTATCACGCGATCAAATCAACAATGAAAAGATACACAGGGTTATCCTGATAAACAGACAGGTCATTGTAGTGAATTTTGGAAGAAGCTTGTGTCCAGTAGTAGACACGTATTTAGGCTAATGAGAATGACATTCTGTAGCTCAAACCAGTAGTGTATATGGCCAGGTTTTTTTTGTCCTACCTAAGCTGGTAGCCTTGAGATGCTATGTCAGCGTAACCTAACAAGTAGATGAGCTCACGCGGCTCTAACCTGATGACTTTGCTAACACTAACACTAGCAAAAGCAGAGCTTCGCATAATTTACCGCCGGATCGGAAACGCGACCCACTAAGAAGATCCGGCGAGAAACTCAGCGGGCTGTGTCTGTGGGTTAATTTATTCGCCGAATCCTTCGTCGCAAATGTCGGGTTCGACGAGAACGATGACCGGGGACCGGGAGATTATTTTATTTACTAAGCCACCCGCCCCTCTAAAGTTTTTTGACCTAGTACTCTGCGATGATTGAAAGCTTGGGCGAACGGCATAAGGCTCATTTTAGCGTATGTTCCAATGCCGACATACGACTTTATCGACACTTGAAAATTTTACAACTTGACGATCTTGAACAACTCTTGAAACGACAAGTTTTTTTTTGGAACTTCAAGAGCAATAAAAGGATTAATAATAATTGGTTTAATATCAGTCGCAATCGAAACAAACTTCATACCGGTCATGTTATCAATAATGTCAGTGCATTGACAACCTGCCAACCGAGAGTACCCGTGAACCATAGACCTATATAGTAGGGACACGACATATTGTTCTATACGTACAATTGCTTATATAAATAGCACCCATTTTGAAGGCACATACATAAACATATATCTATCTCGTTCTTACTCAGCACTTTAACTCGCAGGAAAACAATATAACAGTATTTCAGTGCGTACATAAAATGAAACATGAATATACGTAAATGTCTCCGTCTCCGTCTAATGAGGCCGAAAATCCGCCATGTTTAGCGCGCCAAATGTCATTGTCACGTCAGTTCGGCCGTCTGTTTTGGGTTGTACATTATTTATTGACTTTGATATCGATTTAATATGATTGCTTATATAAAATTTCTTATTTTATCATGCTTAAAACATACAAAAATAATAATTAAAACATATTTTATAGGATCTCAAGAAAGTCGTCGGAACTATTTAAATAAAATAGTTTTATAACACTATTGTCAACTCGTTAAATATTTAATAATTAAGTGATTTTAGAGAGGAAGTCACAAGGAATGACGTTTGTAATTTTATTAACGAATAAATGTTCTGTAGGTGTTTTTTTTTATCAGGCGGTCCCTTGATAAGTTTAAAATTTGAATCACTCTCAAGTGAGAGTGATTCAAATGGTGCGGCGTACCTTCCTTGAGGTGCGCTGCGGTAGTGTGTTACGGACTTTAGAGTCAGCAAAACAATTAAAATAGATTGTAATAGTCTAAGAAAAACACGTACTCAAAATACGATAACATTCAGCATGCTAGAAATGGGCAGATGGCACTGTACTACGCCATATCTTTATGTTTTGCGGCAAACGACAACTTTATAAAATCAGTATAGCAAATTTAAATAATCGTCATATCGTTTACTTGGCAACTTTGAAGCACGAACTCGTCTTAGATTTCACATAATGTCTAAATCACATCATCTTTGCACATAACAATATACTTACTTCCTGTTAAAGTATAAATTCTACAAATACATTCACTCAACAATACTTAAAATAAAATGACCCAAGAACGTTTATCGATAAAACCTACTAACATTAAAATCTTCTGGGCAGCACTAAAACCGCCATGTTTTGTGGCCAGATGACGTCACAGTGGCACGAATTTTTTGTTGACGTTTCATTTCCATAGGTTTCCTACTTCAGTGCCGTGAACATATCCCGTGTTAAGTACACGTGACAATCAAAAATAAAATAAATAAACAAATCCATACTGACATTATTATTTATTTGGTATTATGAATGTGAAAATGTGTTTGTTAGTTTGTCTGTTTGTCCTACTTTCACGTTGAAACGAAGCAACGGATTGACATGTTTTTTTTTTAAATTAGTTAATATTGCGGCGTACATAGGCTACCTTTTTTACCGAAAACATCTCATTCCCATTGGAAATTGTCACTTAACCCGCTAAGTTTCTCGCTGGATCTTCTCAGTGGGTCGCGATTCCGATCCGGTAGATATTAAGTAGGAAAAAAAAACACACTTTTTCGTGATCGAGCGAACGAAGCCGCGGGAAACGGCTAGTAAGGTATAAATGCTGTTCTCAAATCGAAATGTTTTGAATCAAATTTAACATAATGACAATCACGTTTCCTTTCGAATTAATGAGTTTTAATACAATCAAGGGAGTTGTTTGTTAACCTTTGACGTGGTCCGATAAACATCTAACCGCGTTAACACAGGAAATCCACAGCATATACGAGCTGCAATATCGTTACAGCTTTTCTAAAAATGCATATATTGTTAAGTAAAACAGTAATTTAACCAGACTATAAGCAACAAGAAAAGTTTGACAGTAAACAAATAATATGCATGCGGGTGTGTGTCAAATACATTATAGTGTATAATGTATAGTGTATTATAAAATAAAAACCATCCTATGGCCTAAATTGGAACAAAACACATATTTAAAAAAAAGAACAATTAAAATCAGTTCATTACTTTAGGTGTCCATCGCGGACAAACAACGTGACACGTAATTTTTATATATTAAGATATTTGCATACGAGTACACCGGTCGTGTTATCCGTTCGATTGAGTCATGGAGGGTAGAGGTAAGGAGAACCGTCTCTGTGTGTGAAAAGTGCCCGTCAAAATCTGCTAAATAAGGGTAGCGCTACAGTAGCAACCGGGTAAATTTAAAAAAAGGCGCTGAAAGTTATTAGAATAAGATAGAGAACTAAAAAAGGACGAAAGAACTGTAAGCACTACAAAATCACAAAAAATATTTTATTTAAAGCTGATAAGAAAATGCAATTGCATTTGCATTTTCTTCATGTCTCCACGTTTTACCACAGCAATAACTTTAGATTATATTAGATTATATCTAGTCATTAAATATATTAAATTTCCTAACTCAGTATACTTCAATCAGGTAACAACTGCTCAATCCATATCATACCCTATGCCTACGCTAGCGCCATTCTGGAGGATTTTTTAACTTTTATTTAGTGCTAAAAGTGGGACACTTTTTCAAGGTTTATGGTAGGCAGCGGCTTGGTTCTGCCCCTGGCATTGCTGACGTCCATGAGCGACGGTGACCACCTACCATCGGGTGGGTCGTATGCACGTCTGCCTAAAAAGGCAATAAAAAAAACTTCTCACACGGTTCTCCTTACCTCTACCCTCCATAGATTGAGTGGGCTCGATGTTTATTCGCTTGCGTGCGTGCTTGCGTGCAGGTAGCGTTGCTGCGTGCTCACGCCGGCGAGCACCTGCTGCTGGGCTGCGCGCGTCGCTCGCTGCACCTCAAGGACATACTGCTGCTCGGGAACAACTGCATCATCACGAAGCACAACATCGGTGAGGTCTTGTCACAATAGTACATTGTGCACCAAGGGAGAAAAGTTGGACATTTCCTAGTTTTTTCCCGCGGTGCACATACTATTTTTTCTCCTACCAGGCCGAAAGTTCGTGGAGTACCGGAGTACCGTGGTGTACCGTATNGCTCGCTGCACCTCAAGGACATACTGCTGCTCGGGAACAACTGCATCATCACGAAGCACAACATCGGTGAGGTCTTGTCACAATAGTACATTGTGCACCAAGGGAGAAAAGTTGGACATTTCCTAGTTTTTTCCCGCGGTGCACATACTATTTTTTCTCCTACCAGGCCGAAAGTTCGTGGAGTACCGGAGTACCGTGGTGTACCGTATTACTCATAAAAAAAACAGTTTAACTTTTTTAATTTTGGAATAAACTAACTGCTACAAATTGAATAAGAACTGTCTGATGAACGCATCTTTGTTTAATACTTCACTATTAAATTTTATTGCCTTTTGTTTATTTCACTTTTACACTAAACACAATATTGCAAATTGCCCGAGCACAATAATGGCGGATAATTTTAGGTGCGTGAGAGCAGACGTAGACACTAACGCGCATGCGCACTTGTCAGTACCCAGGGAGGAAAAGTTACACTTTCTTCCCTGTACAGCGGGACGAAAACCGAACTTACGGCGTCGGTAGGAGAAAAACAAACTTGTTCTGTCAGTTTTCTAACACTACAGTCTGCCTTCGAGTCCGCATACTCTTAAAAATGTTGTCACTACCATAAGGTCATAAGGCGTGATTTAGTTTTTGCGAAAATCGCTCGTATACGAATTATGTAGTGTTTCTTTTTTCCTTATTCTCGAGTTTTCGTACACTAGATACAAGAAAATCTATTCGAAATTCTGTTCTATAATAATGTGTGTATTGTTTAATTTTCGAACTGAAATGTAGTAATTTAAAACATTATATTCGATTGTATCAATTTGATATTTTATTTTGTCGTACTATAAACATCGTGCGTCTCTCCCATATGATTCTGTCTGTTGTCTGAAAGAGATCGCTATTAGCGATATGATAACCCATCGCAGTATAGTGGTAGAAAAATGTTGAATTTATTTTAGTTTACAATAGAACATATTTTAGTAATACTCTTATTAACTTCATAATGTAGAATGCTGCAAGCTTTTAAAAAGGAAAATATTTTTTAAAGCCTAAATTTAATTAAATGACACATTTTTCGTTTTTTTAATTAATTTTCAAGAATTTATCATAAATTCCCTACGTTTACCATATCTTCTGTTTACAGATGGTCGTATGGACATTGACATTAGCATGATAGGCATGCGCGTCATGGACGAGATAGTGAAGCCCCTACGAGAGATTGACATAGACGACACTGAATTCGCATGTTTGAAAGCTATCGTGTTCTTCGATCCAAGTTAGTAAAACCAGTTACAACAAAAGTACTAGTATATAAGTAATTTCAGCACTAAACAAAACGCAAGATGACTTTGTACAACACGAAAAATCATTATGAAATTTTGGATTCGCAATAAAAAAAAAACATTTTACGAATATCGCATCGCACGTAATGTAACGCAACTAAATAATTCGGCCGGTCAATGACCTCATAAGTAACGCCGAAAGCGCTGCCTATACAATGCGCGGTCACGAAATGAGATACATATTACAAAAATAAATTAATGTTGTTGTCCATTGTGTAATCATGCTCTACCCACGTATAAAAGTACCATCTTGTTTATTATCGACAGCTGGCAAACAATGCAATTGAGAAATGGACAACATATCCCGCTACGCACTAAAACAAAACAAAAAAAAAAAACGGTGCGCGTGAATGAAGTGAAACTTCTTTTGCGTTGTTGTGTAGTATTGTGGTTTTCTTCATTTTTCATCCTTAAATCTGATAGTTCTTGTAATAGAGAATGCTGTGTATAAGAGATGCGATATCTTCATCATTTATATTATACTAGCCGTACCCGTCCGCTTCATTGGACATTTAAAATTAACATTATTATATTTCTCACCCCCACAAATATTCTCATAATTAACGCCCCCGCAACTAGTGTAGGGAATCCAACACTCATATAAATATTAGCCTATCCATTAAGTACATGTATTTTCAACATGGATACCAAGTTTCAAGTCAGTCGGATGCATAGTTCAGAGGTTATAACGGAACATCCGTAAAAACCACTCTAGATTTATATACTATATTATATATTTTTAAAAATACTTCATTAAAATATTGGACGCTAGTCGTTACTAACGCTCGCGCTGGCCTGTAACAGGTATACTACGCGCATGCGTCCGAGTCCCACGCATTCACCCTCGCTCTGTCTCTTTCTATTCCAATGGTAGCGTTAAACGTTTAATGCAACCTTGTCGGAAGTCGCATTAGAAGTTTAACTTCAATAAACCACCAACACACTCCACAGACGCGAAAGGCCTGTCCCAGCCGCAGAAGATCAAGCAGCTCCGTTACCAGATCCAGATCAACCTGGAGGACTACATCAGCGACCGGCAGTACGACGGGCGCGGGCGGTTCGGGGAGCTGCTGCTGTGCCTGCCGCCGCTGCAGAGCATCACGTGGCAGATGATCGAGCAGATCCAGTTCGCGAAGCTGTTCGGGGTCGCGCACGTCGACAGCCTGCTGCAGGAGATGCTGCTCGGCGGTCAGTCCGACTACTAATACTTGTCTATTTTTTTTTATTGCCCTTGTAGGCAGACGAGCACACGTCCCACCTGATGGCGAGTGGTTACTGTCGCCCGTGGACTTCAGCAATGCCAGGGGCAGAGCCAAGCCGCTGCCTACCAAAAAGCATCTTAGTATTTTCATTCAGACCACGGCGCTTAACGGCGCGCCTTATCTTAACTGAACCATTCGAGCCGTGAGGGTCGCCCGTGAGTCTTTTAAAATATCTAAACGGTAAAAGTAGTAAATTTTTATCTTCGGGCATTTTATAAAATTTAGAATGAAAATTCTCAAGTTGTTTTCCTAGCCCACCTAGTGTTAAGTGGTTACTGGAGCCCATAGACAACGTAAATGCGCCACCCACCTCGAGATATAAGTTCTAAGGTCTCACTTGTAACAGTACAACGGCTGCCCCGCCCTTCAAACCGAAACGCATTACTGCTTCACGGCGGAAATGAGCACCTAGGCACCTATCCGTGCGGACTTACAAGACATTCTACCACCGGTAATTACGCAAATTATAATTTTGCGGGTTTCATTTTTATTACACGATGTTATCCCTTGACCATCGAAGTCAATCGTGAACATTTGTTAAGTACGTATTTCATTAGAAAAATTGGTACCCGCCTGCGGGATTCGAACACCGGTGCATCGCTAGATACAAATGCACCGTCTTATCTTTTAGGCCACGACGACTTCATTTCAGTTCCAGTTTATAATCAAAGCGGATTCATACATGCCGCCGCGTCGAGGATAAGCTCAGTGAGAGAGAGAGAGAGAGAGAGAGAGAGANTACTATTGTCTTTTTTTTTATTGCCCTTGTAGGCAGACGAGCACACGGCTCACTAAGACATGTCTTTTTTTTTTTATTGCCCTTGTAGGCAGACGAGCACACGGCCCACCTGATGGTGAGCGGTTACCGTCGCCCATGGACTTCAGCAATGCCAGGGGCAGAGCCAAGCCGCTGCCTACCAAAAGGCATCTTAGTATTTTCATTCAGACCACAGCGCTCAACGGCGAGCCTTATCTTAACTGAACCATTCGAGCCGTGAGGGTGACCTTTTAAAATATCTAAACGGTAAAAGTCGTAAATTTTTATGAAATATATAAAATTTAGAATGAAAAATCTCAAGTTGTTTTTTTTTGTTGATTAGATGGGTGGACGAGCTCACGGCCCACTTGGTGTTGAGTGGTTACCGGAGCCCATAAACATCCACAGCGTAAATTCCGCCACCCACCTTGAGATACGAGTTCTAAGGTGTCACTTGTAACAGTACAACGGCTGTTCCGCCCTTCAAGCCGAAACGCATTACTGCTTCACGACAGAAATAGGCAGGGTGGTGGTACCTACCCGTCCGTACTCACAAAAGATCCTACCATCAGTAATTACGCAAATTATAATTTTGCGGGTTTGATTTTTATTACACGATGTTATTCCTTCACCGTTGAAGTCAATCGTGAACATTTATTAAATACGTATTACAATAGAAAAATTGGTACCCGCCTGCGGGATTCGAACACCGGTGTATCTCTAGATACGAATGCACCGGACGTCTTATCCTTTAGGCCACGACGACTTCATTTCAGTTCCAGTTTACAATCAAAGCGGACTCATACATGCCGCCGCGTTGAGAATAAAACAGAGAAATAAATAAGTTAATTTGTACCTGTAATATTTACAGGGGCCACAACAGAAGCCGTCCTGGAGGAGCCGTCCCCGGAGCCGGCGGCCGCGTCCCCCTCCCCGCCGCTAGTGCCGCTGGTGCCGCTAGTGCCGCAACTGCCGCAGCTGCCAGGCAACGACTCCGCCTTCCTCGAACCGATGCCCTTCAAACAAGAGCCCAACATCTAAACGATAAGTTTTCTGATGCGATATCGAAATGTGTTTAAACTAAAGCCCGCCTGGTACATCAGAGATATGAGAACGCTTGACCCGACCCTGTACTGACAGTTACTAAGTCCAAACTGGATGTGACGTCATCGCGTGCTAAACCCGACGTGACGTCAGCGCGTGCGAAACTCGATATGACGTCATCGCGTGCTAAATCTTACGTGACGTCAGCGCGTGCGAAACTCGATATGACGTCATCGCGTGCGAAACTAGCGAACCGTAGTCACTATAGAATTCCTTGCCAAATTCAATGAAATATTTCTTTTTAAGTGAAACGACAATCGACAAACTTTGTCGGACGTAAAGACTCCTTCTAATAGCATTTAGCATAGACATAAATGTAAATGTCGTTTCTTTGCCTCCATCAAAATTAAATTTCATTTAAAAAAAAAAAAATTTTTATTTAAGTAATTTAAAACGATATTTGAGTTTAAATCTTTATTAACCTAAAATAAAGCCGTTTCATGGTAAACCACAAAAGATATTTAAAATGAAATGAAAGAATCATTATATGTATTTTTTTACAACTTATAAATGTTAATTGTGAAACTGTTTGTACTAACGCCAAAGTTATAATTAAAGTTTATAAAAACAATTTAAATAGGATTATAAATTGAAATAAATTTGAATGATTTTGTGATTTGATGAAATGAATTTTATTCGAATCCGAATTTGAAGACGTGAAAAACTATATAACATAGTAATAAAGATGGTGCTTATTTTACTCCCCAATTCGCGAGTGGCCTTGAGGAGATATTCTGGTTGGAGGCAAGCTCAAGGGCATTATCTGAAAGGGTTTTGCTAAGAACTGCCCTTGCAAGAGCAGTGCTTCGCTGAGTCCACCACATCCTGACCCACTGAGAAGAACCGGTGATAAACTCAGTGGGTTAAATGATGGTGCGGAACTGTATTCGAGTTGCTAGTGGTAGGACGTGGTGGTAGCTGTTGTTGCAATATCTAATCTATGAGCTCCGAGAACAGTTCGGCAAAACAAGGAAACACCATTGCAATATTAGAATATTTTCCAAGACTGAATATCGTAGACCGGTACTATTGTGATTTCGGTTCTATTATTGTTTTTAACCCTTTTAGTGCTGAGCTTGCATATTTTGCAAACATGCTAAATTCACAGTAAAATTAATTGCTAAATGTTATTTATTTATTTCATTTACTTTAGAATTTTGCATCCATATTACATTCATTAACATAACATTGCATATAAAATATCAAAATTAAATAAAAACAAATGAGCTTATTAAATACGTTATACATGCGCGCGCCAAGCAGGTCTATATTTAATACCTAAAACCAAACTGCGCAATACTCGGTATTCCGACGCTCCGCATTTTTTACACATTAATAGATAATCGATATATCGACGGTTCGCGCTTTAAGGGTTAAAATCGGGTGCTCGTTACAACTGGTCACTTGACATGTTGTATCCTTGTAACACATATATTCAAATAAACTGTGTGCTTAGTGAGAGTTTTTTAACTTCTCGATCGCGTAAAAGTTAACTCAAATTTGTATGAAGTTGGAACAGCGTCCCTACGTTTGCCGCTAGGGGCGCTGTTCCAACTCCATACAAATTTTACACTGATGTACAAAATGAATTTGAGGCCTTACGTGACCCGCGTGCTGTGTCAGGGTTTGTCAACTAGGTTAAGTAATATTATATTCATATACAAAACGTGTAAACCAGCCATTTTCGAAATATTTATATACAAAATCTAGTTTAGTTATAGTTAGCGAACATTGCAGTAATTGGGCTGTGTGAGAGAACATATTTTTAGAATGATATCATATCAATAATTATATTGGATTTTTATTCTTATTATTATTATTATAAATATACAAATTTGTATTTAAGACTTTTTTAATGTATGTTTGCAGATTTTATCTGTTATCCTTTGAGCCAAATCAATATAAATTACTAGTTATAACTATTGACTGTTATTGGTGATTGTGTTATGGCCAACTGTTTGAAAAGTCGCCGGTTGAAGAGTTTATTAAAAAAAATAGGGGAATGTTTTTTTTTTCGTTTATATTGGAATGAGTTTAATATTTTTAGGAGAGGTTTACAAAACGGTTGGCTAATAGTTTCGTATTGTTTGTTACCACGTTTGAAAAGTAGGTGATGGTATATTGTATTTAGGGTTATATACGAATGGCGTGTGAAGGTATATCCGTTAGATACAATGCTTCAAAGATTGTAAATATCGTTCATTAGATTGTCCAATTTAACGTAGACTGCGTATTCTATTAGATTATTATTTTAATTTTAGTTGTTTTTATTCGTGAAATAATGCTCAATGTACTTTTCTGTTAGTCGGTTGATGTTCGATGGTTAAAATTATTGGTGAATGTTACGTAATTTGTTATTATATTACGAAGAGTTTTTTAAAGGGTTTTCTCTAAAAGTATATTACGTACGGTGCCTTATAGTCTAATAATGGTGTATTGTTGAAAATGTACATACTATGTTATGATTTGTAGTAGAAAATATTTTAATAAATAACGTTACTGAATTTTAATGTTTTATTTTATTACCAGCTAGGTATTCACGGTAAACAAAAGTGCTCATCTTGCGTCGGTTCCTATCGGGTATAAGCAACATAAAATACTTGTGTAGACAATATTGTATAGACAATATATCGACGCTTGAAAGGCAAACGTGACTAAGCAACAATGCGTGAACTTTACAGTAGACTAATTTAAATTTGAAATACCTGAAAAAAAATCTATTTTAATGAATCTAGCTGTAGGATTAAAATGATTTTAATAGACCTAGAAATATATTTTTTTTTGCGCATCGAATATGGTTATTGCCTATCATTTATGTACAAAGCAGTTATTGTCGCTTAGTCACGTTTGCCTTTCAAGCGTCGATATATTGTTTCAAGGTCCATCGTTGGGCTTCTCCTTAACGTCCATGTATCCTTTCCGTCGCTCGCCGCGGTTCTTGCAGTACAAGAAAAGAACAGAAGCCGCTGAGACCGCGAGCATCAACACCAGTGGTATTAACAGTGGCAACATCGATTTGTCGGTTTTGTGGATTGCTGTGTGGTTCACAATATTAGTTTTCTTGTACAGATATATTTATTTTTGTAAACTCTCGACTAATTTTTTTTTAACAAATTGAGTTCGATAACACTGACAAAACTCAATTGTGTAGTCGTTTTGTCAAAATAATGAAAACGTCAGATTTTTCGATACAAAGTTTTTATTAAAAATATAATTATATCACATTCATAAATAATCAATGTAACTTTTATTATCAATTATTCTTTTAAAATTAAAAATAAAAACAAATAAGTAAACAAGCTATAAAAAAGAAACATTAATTTTTCACGGACAAAACCATACTTTTTTACCTATTCTAGTAACCGTGAATGGTTATACTAAGATTCATAGAACGAGTAAGTGAGCTCATGAGCTCATGAGGCTCTAACCTGACGACGTTGCTAACACTAGCTCTAGCAAGAACAGTGCTCCGCAGGATCTACCACCGGATCGCGACCCATTGAGAAGATCCGGCGAGAAACTCAGTGGGCTGTATCTGTGGTCTGTTAGTTTATTAGCCGAGCCCTTTGTCCGCACCGTTAGTGGATCGGGAGGATCCGAAATGACGTGCTTAGGGCGACGTCAACTATTTACCATTCGGTCCGAAGGATGGGGAATGAAATCAATACGACCAATCTTGTTGGAATACGTTCTTTGCAGAATAGTAATACATCATATACTAAAGTTCGCACGTATGTTGATAGGTACTATTTTGATATGAAGAGGTAAGTTTAAATTAGCAGCCTTCTTCTACTTTACCCACGAACATTAGAATAACCAAAACGTTTAAATATCATAATAACATTTCAACAGGATAAAACTGTATCTTGTCCTCAGAGGCTTACCTAAATGCATTATACCTATAGATATATGTGATCATTTTAAGACTGAAAAAGAAAAATGCTATAGATGACTCGATGTAAAAAGATTAAAAGTATATTTGACGCAATGCTTCGGTCCTCGAGGTATATTTGACATTGATGTTAGCTTGTAGAGCACTAGTGAAGAGCTTGACCGTCGACATTTAATTGTATTCTGACGTCATCGCTACCAACAGGACAATCTTCAAAATCTCATCGAAGTCATCCCAACCACTACGTAGTTTAGGACATACATCAACTTTATATATCGACGCTTGAAAGGCAAACGTGACTAAGCGACAACAACTGCTTTGTACATAAATGATAGGCAATAACCATATTCAATGCGCAAAAAATATATATTTCTAGGTCTATTAAAATCATTTCAATCCTACAGCTAGATTCGTTAAATCAGAATTTTTTTTCAGGTATTTCAACATTAAATTAGTCTACTGTAAAGTTCACGCATTGTCGCTTAGTCACGTTTGCCTTTCAAGCGTCGATATATAAGATCTATAAACTCTAATGAAGCGACATTTAAAGTCTTATTTTTATAGTAAATTCATTCACATTCTAAATAAAAATTAATTTAATAAATTCGCATTTTTTCATATCTGTCACTGCTGTTTTATTAGACATATCCACATTCATTAGAATCTCATTTCAAACAGCGCAAGCGCGGCAATTCACGTTACAGGAAGTACTTTCTTTACACTCTTATAATTTACATAAACAGATTACAAAACTGATTTTACTATTTGTTACAAAAATAAGGAGGTGCTCATCAATTATCGTATTTAAAAAATAATTCGTTCTTACTGTTGATGAAAATTATTCTAGATGCACATTTTACTTATTAGTCATGAGGTCTTCATGCAAATTTACAAAATATTAAAAATAAAATTTAAAGTTACATTCTACCTATGTCTTTGAATAAACAAAATTCATAGTATAGCTTTTATAAAAATTAACTTCTCTCCTAATCGCCCTAAATACGTCATTACCAATCCTTTCAATCCATTAACGGTGCTTTTAGGTATCACAACAACGGGTCACCGTCCTTGTCGGACCCGTCCTTTTCGAAACAAAAGGCTCAGCGAGTAAATTAACCCTCAGACACAGCCCACTAAGTTTCTCGCCGGATCTTCTCACTGGGTCGCATTCCCGATCCCGTGGTAGATTCCGGGAAGCACTGCTCTTGCTAGGGCCAGTGTTAGCAACACTCCCGTTTTAAGCCCCGTGAGCTCACCTACCAGCTCGGTGAATCTAGAATAGCCTCTCGAGGTTACAAGAATAGGTAGAAAAATTATGACGGGCGTGTGACAGACACAGTAATTGGCGTGTATAGGAGGCAGCGTCAGGGACGGTCGAGCCTGGCGCGGCGCCCGGAGTCTCCGCCGACGTAGCAGAAGGCCGTGCGGAGCCCGCGCTGCTGGAGATAATGCATCCACTGTAGCTGCTTCACGGACGGACGGTCAGAGTCAGACTTCACCTCCATGAACGTTATCTGAAAATCAAACACGAGAACCTTTTACTGGTGGTAGGACCTCTTGTGAGTCGTAGGTAGGTACCACCACCCCGTCTATTTCTGCCGTGAAGCAATAATGCGTTTCGGTTCGAAGGGTGGGGCAGCCGTTGTAACTATACTGAGACCTAACTATATTGAAGTCGTCGTGGCCTAACGGATAAGACGTCCGGTGCATTCGTGTCGAGCGATGCACCGGTGTTCGAATCCCAGGCGGGTACCAATTTTTCTAATGAAATACGTACTCAACAAATGTTCACAATTGACTTCCACAATGAAGGAATAACATCTCGTAATAAAAATCAAACCCGAAAAATTATAATATGCGTAATTACTGATGGTAGGACGTCTGTGAGTCCGCACGGGTAGGTACCACCGTCCTGCCTATTTCTGCCGTGAAACAGTAATGCGTTTCGGTTTAGAACTTAGAACTCTTGTTGCAAAGTGTGTGGCGACATTTACGTTGTAGTTGTCTATGGGCTCTAACACCAGGTGGGCTGTGAGCTCGTCCACCCATCTGAGCAAGGCAACGGAATGTCCAGGAGGTTCCAATGTTTAGATACTCGACTGACTGTTTTCGTGTGTGCGTTCCACAGCGTGAGGTCGGGGAAGCCGCTGTGCGCGTGCCCGTAGTTCGTGGCGAGTCGCTCGCACAGCGCCCCCACCCGCCGCGGCCCCAGGCAACCCGCCACCATCTCTATCCTGTCCCACTCTATGCTCCTCGTTAGTCCAGATAGTTCACCTGTAAATAAACAATAGCATTTATTTATCTAAATTTCATTTTATTATATCTTATTAGCGACCCGCCCTCGCTTCGCTTCGGAAACTGTAATTTATTATTGATTTCTCCACTATTTAATGGATTTTATTATACATAAAGACCTTCCTCTTCAATCACTCTATCTATTAAAAAAATCCGTTGCGTAGTTTTAAAGATTTAAACATACATAGGGATATAGGGACAGAGAAAGCGACTTTGTTGTATACTATGTAGTGATTAATACGTGATGCAAAAACTTTGTAGGTACCCTTTTTTACGAAAATTGCGCAGACGGAGGAGTATAAAATTTCCCCCACTTATAGAGAATATGAAGAAGGAGTGCAGAATATTAAAATTGTTTTTAATTAATAATACTTACATTACATACATTATTAATACATTAACAAAAAAATCAAAATAAATAAATAAAATAATTAATAAATAAATAAAATATACGCACACTACCAAATCCCCTTAGAGAATCCTTAGAAAACTAAGAGCTTTTTTTATTGCTTAGATCCGACGAGTTGGATGAGTTCACGGCCCACCTGGTGTGAAGTAGTTACCGGAGCCCATAGACATCTACAACGTAAATGCCGCCACCCATTTTGAGATATGAGTTCTAAGGTCTCCGTTTTTACAGTACATTGCGTTTTACAGTGCATTACATTTTACAGTGCATTACATTTTACAGTGCATTACATTTTACAGTGCATTACATTTTACAGTGCACTAAGCTGCAATTAAAGTCACTAACCTTCGGGCCTCGAGTCCCACACACGTCTCATGGCCTCCAACATATCCTCTGCGCTGCCCGCCGCTAGACTACTCAATCGCTCGTCGATCTCACTCTTTCTATTCGTGTAGAAACTATCGCAGTACAAGTCCAATGGATACCTCTGATAGCGACTGAGGAATATACCTGGTGCGTGAGCAGGTTTCGAGTATATGATATCCCAGAACAGCAGAAAGAATATTGTCGTGATTATTCTGCCTTCCCAGTGATCACCTTCAATAAAACATGAGAAAATACTTTTTTTTCATATAGATTGTAAGTATAAAACTGCTTTCAGACTACACTATACTATAGTGTCATATAGTATAGCAGCGTATACTTAGTCAATACTATATAGTACAGTATAATGTGAACGTTTTTTTTTCTTTTTATTGCTTAGATGGGTGGACGAGCTCACAGCCCACCTGGTGTTAAGTGGTTACTGGAGCCAATCCGCACGGGTAGGTACCACCACCCCGCCTATTTCAGCTGTGAAGCAGTAATGCGTTGCGGTTTGAAGGGTGGGGCAGCCGTTGTAACTATACTTGAAACCTTAGAACTTATATCTCAAGGTGGGTGGCGCATTTACGTTGTATATGTCTATGGGCTCCAGTAACCACTTAACATCAGGTGGGCTGTGAGCTCATCCACCCATCTAAGCAATAAAAAAAAAAAGTTCTGAGTAAAACATTTGGATCGTCGGTCTACCGAGCAATATCACCCGCTCGGTGGAAGATCTACCCTTTCTTGAATACCTACAAAACTACCCGACAAAACTACTCATCATTCAAAGCTCTATAATTATTATTCATGTTTAATTTGACTCACCGTGGGTGTACGTTCCGTTGTTAATATAATGCCAGATACAGTAATCTTCAACCTCAATGGCTTGCCTTATCCCATCTATGCAAACCTCGTACTTCAATTTGCCTTTATACCAGTTACTGAAATTTACCATAAGCTGAATAAAATGTTCTTCAGTGTGACCACAGCTCAATTTGTGCACAAGAAGTATGTCGTCACTGCCTATAAAACTTGAATTTATGGTAGGCAGCAACTTGGCTCTGTCCCTGGCATTGATGACTTCCATGAGCGACGGTAAACACTTACCATCAGATGGGCCGAATGCCCGTCTGACTGCAAGGGCGATAAAAAAAATGCGCAATTGCTTCGTGACAGAAAAGGACTGAACAGTGAAACCGACTTCCCAAGGTTTAACCCATAGACTGAGTTTCTCACCAGATCTTCTCAGTGTCTCAATTCCGACCCGGTGGTAGATTCAGCAAAGCACTACTCTTGCTAGGGCTAGTGTTAGCAAACTCTCTCAGGTTGAGCCCGTGAGCTCACCTACCCATCCGGGCGTAGCTGAATTAACCTCTTAGGCTACCAGCGTATGAGTAGGAAAAAAAGCTCAGTTTTCACTTACTCCATAGGATTTTTGTGTAAATGCTCAGCGCTCAAATCCTTTTCCAATTTGATATTTTCATTGGCGATTTCGTTGAGAATTACTCTTAGTTTGTTTCCTACATTTGTTTTCTGCTTCGATATTTTGACAGCTTGAGGTCGCATCGCGTCTTTGGCGTCGTCTGAAAGTTTGTTCGACTGAAGTCCTTCCAATAATAACTGGGCCGCCTGGGGAGATTATAACGCAATTTTTAAGACCCGGCTCTCAACAATACCTCATGCTTATTGCATAAAATTAAAATATGGTCTGGATAACCATCCTGTAATTTTAGATATTAATCTAATCAAATTATTAATTTAATTGTTAATTGTAACTCTAGTTATCACTTAAATTGTATCTGCAAGATTTCAAATTTACACTATCTTATACATAAAACCTTTCTATTCACGCTTTTGTTTCATGAATAACATCTCAGGAGTCCAAAATGAATTATACATGAAGGCAACGGTCTCCACTGGAGAAGGATTCATCTCTGAAGCATAACGGCATAATCTCAAACAATTCAGTAGACCGTTTGCCAAAAATGATAATTCTCTATGTGACCCAGAGACATGTTGGTACATTATAAGCATTTTTGGAACGAAGTTCCTTACGGCAGGCTTGGAGGGGATAGGGATTTTGCTGCGCGACCGAACTGAAAAAAATGTGATAGTAAAACCGTAAGAAAAAATCCGTGGAAAAAAGTGCGTGGAATAAAACCGTTAAATGAGACGTGCGCAGGCGCGACAGTCGCATACACAAGCGAGTAGTGCATAATACCTTTCTCTTTCTCCCTCTTTCTTTTACTTTTACATACTTTCCTGCACTTAAATAAAAAAAACTAATCAGCAAAATTTAAGAGAAAAATCATGAAAACCTACATAAAATTGAGCACGATATTTTTTTTGCAAATTGTGTCGTATCTACATTAGCCGAAGGAACTTCGTTCCTACCTGGTGTCCCACGACACCACATCTTTAATTTTATTATTAATATGTTTTATATATGTAAAGAAAACAAACATCCTTTAAAGTTAAAATTTTCCACGCTTGCACTGTTTGAGACGCAGTTGGAATTGATGTAGAATGTCAATAAAACAGTGGTGACAATAAAAAAGAAATATGAAGTTATAAACTTGATTCCTATGTAGAATTGTGAACGAATTGAATATAAATAGACTTAAATGTCGTTTCTTTGTTTTTTTTTACAGGTTAGTGGAATAATGGTAGGAGATTTTTAGTTTGATATGTAATCTATATATATAAAAATGAATTGCTGTTCGTTAGTCTCGCTAAAACTCGAGAGCGGTTGGACCGATTTGGCTAGTTTTGGTCTTGAATTATTTGTGGAAGCCCAGAGAAGGTTTAAAATGTAGATAAATATGAAAATTCTCGGAACTAAATAAAAATAACAATTTTGTTTTTCCTTTGATGTGTCGCCCGTCGGACGGATTCGTTTTGTTTGTTTTAAGTTTATTTTATACAAGGTTTAGGTCTTTTGTTTATCGATTGAAGCACTACGAAGTCTGCCGGGTCAGCTAGTTAAAATATATAAAATAAAGCAGGTATACGGCATCTGTCAAATATCTTGTGTTCTACGATGGTTACCCGCCAGATTTCCATGATCCATATTAAACGTAGACTTAGATACCTACCTCATCGTGCCGTCCAAGATATTTCTGTAGTATTAAAGCTTTTTCTGTATACCAGCCAGCTTTCTTGTGTTGCCTGAACGAGTCCTGCGCTATCAGCACACTGAGTATTTCAACGGCGAAGTTCGAAGACACGTCACTTTTATTACGCTTCAGCGATTGGATCCCATCTCCTAATATTTTCACAAATATATATGGCGGCGTGTATCGACGCAACCACTCCGGTAGTGAAGTGTATCTGGAATTTAAAAAAAATCCAATTGAAATTAGCAAATTTCTGTCAACAACACTTTTTTTACTATTATTATTACTATTATTATTTACTATTGTGGGCTACTCCCACATATACACTTACACACAACTGGTACTCATTTACATACACCACATTACATTTTATTCCGTCACAAATATCAGCCGTGTCGATGCGCACCAGTCGACTACATTGGACACACGCACCCAAAACCGGTTTGCTGTGACGTCACGCCGATGCGTCGTCGTCTGCGCACAGCACCGCCCTGACTTCAGTCAGAGCTTACCCGCATTGACTAATAGTCCAAGATCCCAGGGCCTCCAGGCGTCACGTATTTTCTGACGAACGAAATGTGGCCGATTGCGTAGTGTTAGTATGTGCTAAGAACGCATGCCTGGGCATTATCCACGCACATGAGACTGAGTGAGACATGTCTTAGGATATATTGACTTCTCTGTCTCTCTGTCTCTCTATCTCTTCTCTAATTCTGTTGTACAACAGTTTTGTACGGTCTATATTGGAACATGGCTCCGTCACATGGAATCCCCAATATAATATTTATATTCAGCGACTAGAAAGAGTCCAAAAAAAGTTTTTTAAGCATCTTTGATACTATTGTGGTCGCTTTAACTCTCCAGAACCGACAGAATTTGTCTCTCTAGTCGATCGTAGGCTACTGAGGGATCAAATGTTTTTATATAAAATAATAAATAATGAGATTGATTCTAGCTATCTTCTTTCCAAAATTTCATTTAAATGTAGTCGTATTACCGCGCGTTCTAAACAGACCTTCCACATGTCCACGGCTCGAACGAAATATGCTTCTAACTCTTTTGTCCGTAGATCTTGTAGGTTGTATGATGCTAAGTTCTCTAATGCTGACATCTTTTGTTTGTCACTTGTAGCATAATATAGAAAAGCTATTTTAAAATATTTATAAGGTGATTTAGCCTAAGTAGTACAGTTGATGTATAAAATAATATGTGCGTATTGTGTTGCTTTTATTTTTTTGTAATTTAAATTTCTAAATTTCTCTTCTTGTTCACTCTCTACTTATATGTGATTTTGATTGTGGAAACATATTTGGTTATTGTTTTAGCTATATTTTTTTAAAATATTATATGTTTGTATTGTACTGTTTGTTTCCCAAATAAATAAATTATTATATGCCGCCCCCAATCCTAAGGCGTAAGGTCGAAGTGTTAATAGGACTGAGCTATCCAACCTGTCACACTAGAAGCTTTTCTGTATGATATTCGCAAAATAGTTGTTACCTACGTGGCTATAACGGCAACATAGCAAAAAAACTAAATGTCTTTAAACCATCACCATCTCCACCACTGAGCCCGGTCTTCGGCTCTCCTCATCCACCTCTTGACGGCTACTGTTCAGAGGTCATCGCACCACCTTTTTTATTGCTTAAATGGGTGGACAAGCTCACAGCCCACCTGGTTGTTAAGTAGTTACTGGAGTCTACAGACATCTACAACGTAAATACGCCACCCACCTTGAGATATAAGTTCTAAAGTCTCAGTATAGTTACAACGGCTGCCCCACCCTTCAAGCCGAAACGCATTACAGACTGAAACCTAAGCCAAATTACTTTATAATTAGCGAAATATTTCTCATCGCGTTTACCTAATCATGTCTTCCTTGTCAATTTTCTTGTACATTTCATACACCGTTTCTACTAAAATACATTTGACTTTATCGTCCGTCTCGATTATATACTTTTCGTATATATAATGAGCTTCTAGATACCTGCAAATAAATTAAAATATAATCTTTAAAATTAAGTCTAAATGACGACAATTTAGTGCGGCCTGATAAATATATGGATGCCAGTAATATATTAATACTTACTTCTCAAACTCTTTTCGATTTTTGAAAACAACACTCGCATCATCAATATCCCTGTTTTCGATAATTGGAAATGTCTCACGATTAATCTTCTCATACAGTAACGTAAGTTCCAGCCTCTTCTCTCTTATAATTGAGTAGTCCATTCCTAAGTATGTCAATAGATACAACTCGTACAGTGTACTTCTTGCTTTTTCAGTTAACTTGTAGCATGACCCTAATTTTATTTTAAATCTAAAATAAAATATATAAATCTACAGTGGTTTTTACAGATGTTCCGTTATAACTACTGAACCATGCATCCGATTGACTTGAAACTTGGTATCCATGTAAAAAATACATGTACTTAATGGATAGGCTAATATTTATATAGTGTTGGAGTCCCTAATAATAATTACAATAAATAGGTATTAATGTTGACAATAAATGCCCAGCGAGCGAGTATGGCTAGTCTAAAATAAAATTATATATTAAATTAATTTTAATTAAAAAACACTACCTATCTATGTATGTACCTATACCCATCTCTCTTAAATCTACTAAAAGATTTTGGCATGTCATGAGTAAATTCCGTAAATTATATACTTGAACGAGCATCTAAAGCTGCACCAGTAGGTTTTTAACATATTTTGCTAAGCAAGAAGAGGATTGTGGACAATGAAGGTGAGAGTAATGTGCATTGATAGGAGGCCCTTAAGCTTACATCAGAGTCGCGTATTCACTGGCATTCTCCAAATTCCTCTAGTGAGTATTTGTGCGTGCGTGAGTATTTGTATTGCTATTCGTCTCTAACAATCGACACAGAAGGTATGACCGCGTGACCACTAAAATTAAATACCTAATTATGAAGGCATTCTGATGCCGGTAAGAGCAACGCCATCTATCGTTAAAATAGCAAAAACGTATATCGAAACAACTGGAACGTTTCATAAATGTTCTAGAAAATTTCTTCATTGTTCTAGTTTTAAGGAGAGTGTTCCCGAAAACAGTATTGCGGCCATTAGATTGTTCTCGACATAGGCAAGACGAGCCTTGAACATTTCTAGTGTGTTCTAGCTCTATCGAGATTATTGTGTAACATCGTAGACATAGTCATAACATAGTTTTGAAGTCGTAGTTGACCCAAAGCACAAGACGACTGGTGCATTCATATCGAGCCATGCGACTGTGCGGGTGTTCGAACCCCGCAGTCAAGTACAATTTTTTCTAATGAAATACATACTTAGGAAAAGTTCACGAATAACTTCCACGTGAAGGAATAACATTGTGAAATATAAATAAATCCCGCAGATATTATAAATAGCGTAATTACTGGTGGTAAGGCATAAGCCTGTCATGTGTAACTACCACCACCCTGCCTATTTCTGCAGTGAAATAGTAATGCGTTTCGGTTTGAAGGGTGGGGATGCCATCGTACTGTGAAACCGAGACTTAGAACTGTTGTTGTAAGGCGGGTGGCGACATTTATGTTATTGATGTCTATGGGCTAGAGTAACCACTCAACACCAGGTAGGCCGTCAGCATGTCTACCCCCATCTAAACAATAAATAAATAGACTGTATGAAATGACTGTACAGGCCTGGAATAGACGACATGAGTGGAGTTCTATTGGCAATGATGCAACTTATGAATCACCTCAAGAAAGCCAAGAACTGAATGCGAATTAAGAGTAAACTTATTAGTTGTAATAATAAAATTGAGTTTTAAGTATTCTTATGGTGAAAAGTTCCCTTAAAAACAGTTAAAGGGTTAACGCCCTCAACAAATTATACAGGTAAGGTGATGAGAAATTGTTTTTAATGAAATTACATAACAATGTTTTTTTAAGATCCATTGTGTTGTTGGTGGTATCCATAATCTAATAATAATCTGTTTATGATTAGTACTCAGGGTCTGGGTTTGCTTGTCCTTGTCAGCTGTCAGTTGGAAGTCAATGAATGTGGAAGGTTAAAAAAGTACTTTACATTTCCAAGAGCCTGGTCTTGTTGTTCATAGGGTTTTCTTTCACTTGTATAAAGAACTTGCTGATGGAACTTTGGTTGCTGTAATTTTCTAATAATTTTATTGCACTTTTTTTGGACTGAACCTTTATATTTAATTCCTTGCATATTTGTTTCAATTCATCAGCTTTCAATTTGGAAGTTATCTCATGAAAATTTAATTTGCATGTATCTAAAAACAGAATTTAAAAAAAATTATAATTAAGAATTCAGCAGTTCTTTCATGTCATTTTTGATATGCCTGTTTATAGATTTGTTTGTTATTTTTAATTAGAATGAATGAATGAATGTAATGAATTTCAACGCATCTAATAAAAGTACAGGACACTGATTGTAGATAATAAAGTGAAGAAAAAAATAAATAATAATAATTTTTTCACATTAAGGATTCATTTAGTGTCCTTCCGTTCAGTTCTTACGTAAAACTTTCGTATCAAATTGTTAACGTTCAGAAATAAATTTACACCTAAAAATAAGTTTTTATAGTTAGTACATAGATAGGAACCTTTAGGTTTTCATGTAGGTTTACATGTCACAAAGTAGTTAGAACCAATAAAGGTAAATCTCACATTTAAAGTATTCATTAGAATTTGACTTAATAATTCATACACTTTTAGGAATTTACATTACAAAAAGACATTTTTGTTTTACTGAATTCTGTTAGCCCCGTGTCAACTATTGGTGTATTCAAAAAGCAAAAACTATTTTAAATAATAAACTGGGTTGTTAAGAATACATATTGCCATGCAAAAGAGGCACCACAATGTTGGCTTGAGGAAGACATTTCAATATACAATGTGTTTTGAATTGTTTTAGTTTAAAACCAATTTTTAGTTTTATGTTTCATTTAATTTCAAAATTCATAATTTACCTAAATAAAGTTTTAGATTTAGAAGCATTATTATTGACCTTTCTTCTTGAACTTAAAAATATTTCAGACTTACCATCAGAATTAACATTTTCAAGGAAACCATTTTTTACTAAATCACTGATCATTTCTTGTACTATTTGTTTTTGAATTTTATTAGACCTATCATTGCTGATATTTTCAAGATCATCCCAGCGGTAAATGGTGGCCTGCCTCCAATACAATCTACATATAACTCTGACACCAGGCTTTTTCACATGAAGACATCTACTTAAAAGAGTCTGAGAAGATTCATCTAGTAGGTTCTTCAAATTCTCATTATTCAAAAAATTATAGATAATGTTCAATAGAAATATAGCTGAAATTGGTGGTATTTGTTGGTAAGCATAAAGAAAACTTTGTAAATATAAATAAACACTAATAAAATGATTATTAGATTTTATTATCCGATATTTTCTGAAGATTTTAAGTGGGTGGCAGTTGAAGTTGATCTATGGTATGTACAATGTTTTTTATTGCTTTTTAAAGTTAATGAGCATACAGATTACCTAATGTTCCCAAAAATTCAATACTAAATGCTGCTGCCAACCACAAAGGACTGTTTTAAAAATTCATTTAATGAATATTTTGGCATAGCTATCAAAAAACAAAAGAGACATTTGATCTGCTACCCACGGAATCATTATTTGAAAGTTCTATTTTGTCAATAATTATATTCTTTTCAGTGATCACATTAGCAACAAGAATGTATTTTTTTTCAAAAACATTGTTATTTTTTGTTTTGCCTCTGTACACTAAGTACTAATAGGGTACTTTTTAATTTAAAAAAATCAAGTTGAAACATATACTTTGGTATGTGGTGATAGCCATGCTGACTTACTTTTATCATCCATTCCATCACTTGCAGCTTTGAAAACATGATCAATTGAGTTATCTTTTTCTAAGCATCCAAATGAATCTCGAGCTAAATTCTTTTTGACTGGACTTCTTTTTTTTAACACAGCTCGCTTTTTGTTTGGTGAGTAAAATTTATCTTTTGATCCAGATCCTTGAGAACCGAATGATTTTGGCGATTTCCGTGGCGTTGTCGGGCTTATTTCAGATTTAATTGAATCAACTAAAGTTTCAGTTTTGTAATTTTCCCTTTCAGGGCCCACTTTTGGACATATGTTTACTATAGAATTAGTATATTCATTTTTTAGTGTCTTTACGGGGGGTCCCTTTGCGAGACTCAAACTAAACCTTTTTTTACTTCCGGGGGAATTCTGGTTCATGCTACTGAAACTTTTAGGCAATTTCGATTTAAAATATTTATCAATACTTGTTTGATGGCTCATGGTGCTCCTATGAACTCTACAAAAGAATATGTAAGTACATTTGTCATCATATGTATTAATTTCCAACTGTTTCCATAATTTTTTCCACAATTTCAATTTTATTCACAGGTTTTATATGTAATACATAAATTATTTATGTTATGGCCTGCCCGGTATAGTACTATACTATTTCCATTTCTTTAATTTCTCGATGACAGCTCCTGTGAAAACTTGAACGAGCGTCTTTTTACATTATGTAGGTATTTAATAATAAAAATATGACGCTTACTCACGTACAAGGTCATAGCAGATTCGGAGAAACTGATAGGGATGGAGCTATCGATAAAGGTAACACGATAACAGACCCGTTAATTTTTACAAAGTGTAAGAGACTAAATTATTGCCGGATCATTTTGTACAAATTTACTAACTATTACTAATTTATTAACTATTTCATTACAAGATGTAATTATATTATGTTGATTCTTTATTTATTTATTTTAATCTAAATCTGATGATTCGTTACTGTCACTCGATGAGCTCTCCTCAACATTTATTACAAGTCTATAATGTCGAATGCCACATGAATTTCCCAATTCGACGCTATAATATTTTGGGTTCTTCTTACAATTTTTTCCCAGTGTTCGGTGGTTACTTCCGCTCATGCATTTTTTTAATAAAACTAACATCACGTTTACCGTAAAAGGGGGTTCAGTGTTGTTTCGAGCGGCGTATCCTATAATTTGTGCCCATATTAGATGTAAAGCATTGTACTGGCATGATACGGCGGAAGTCGAAGAACCCAATGACCATGCTAACAGCTATTTCGTTGGTAATATATCTTTTAGGAAGGCTTTTGTTCGATTTAAAAATATTAACTAATTATATTATATTTGAAAGCTTTTGTTGTATCTGTCTTTGTTCAAAACGTAATAAACATATTTTATGCGATCGATACCGTTACTTATTTGGTTACAACACTACAACTATCAAATTAGAACTGTCATCGCGAAAATAAAGAAATGGAAATAGTCACTGAAGTAGGAAACCTATGGAAATGAAACGTCAACAAAAAATTCGTGCCACTGTGACGTCATCTGGCCACAAAACATGGCGGTTTTAGTGCTGCCCAGAAGATTTTAATGTTTGTAGGTTTTATCGATAAACGTTCTTGGCTTATTTTATTTTAAATATTGTTGAGTATGAATGTATTTGTAGAATTTATACTTTAATAGGAAGTAAGTATATTGTTATGTGCAAAGATAATGTGATTTAGATATTATGTGAAATCTAAGACGAGTTCGTGCTTCAAATTTTCCAAGTAAACGATATGACGATTTTTAAAATTTGCTACACTGATTTTATAAAGTTGTCTTTGCCGCAAAACATAAAGATATGGCATAGTACAGTGCCATCAGCCCATTTGTAGCATGCTGAATAATATCGTATTTTAAGTACGTGTTTTTCTTAGACTATTACAATCTATTTTAATTGTTTTGCTGACTCTAAAGTCCGTAACACACTACCGCAGCGCACCTCAAGGAAGGTGCACCGCACTACCGCACCGCACGCAAATTTTAAACTTATCAAGGGGCCGCCTGATAAAAAAAAACACCTACAGAACATTTATTCGTTAATGAAATTACAAACGTCATTCCTTGTGACTTCCTCTCTAAAATCACTTAATTAATAAATATTTAACGAATTTACAATAGTGTTTTACTCACTGCGGAATAAAACTATTTTATTTAAATAGTTCCGAAGAGATTTTGTCGGTAGCCTTTTTCCCGAAATATCTAAACAGAATGTCTAAATATGTTTTGATGACATATTTTAAAGNAGTATTTATAAACACTTGTCCAAAAATTCTAGTTCAAGGTCAAAGCGCGTGAAATTAAATTCAACGATGCAAATAGGCTATACTGCATTCAAGTTAGGGTCGAAAGTTGAAACTTCTTTCCTTAATTGTATCCTGCTGATACGCTAAGAATAATCTACAGACATATGGACTTAAATATAAGGTTTACAATTGTATGGATAATGCCTGTTTCTGTTTCATTCATCACATGATATCCCTATCGTGCGCTCACTCACTCTGGCCGATTCGATACGAACCAAACGAATATTGCTGATATTAACGAATCGGTACGATATGCCGATGCGCATCACATCGAGCAATATCGTGTATCGGCTGATATCGAAATATAGATTTCGATTCACGAATCGGTACGATATGGCGATGCATCACATCGAGCAATATCGTGTATCGGCTGATATCGATATATAGATTTCGTGCGGGGCGATATCGGATTCAACGATATTGCTACGATATATAGATATTGAATCTATATACGATTTATATCACCCACTCCTAGTCCCTACTATTTAAGTCTATGGAAATAGTTTAATACTGACAGTAGTAGTTTTTTTCCAACTGGAAGGGCAAAGGTGTCATACCATACAACCTAATCTTTTTTAAATATTTATTTTATATATGAAAAATAATAATATGAAGTGAAATGCAATGAAGTTGATTAATATGAAACATGGCGTGAAATGAAATGAGATGAGATGATATGGTATGAAATATAATCTCATTAAAATGGTGGTTATTTACTGAGACTTTTTCAGTGGACTTTTTGGAGGATCTCGAGAAGTTACGTCCAGTGGCTTTGTTTTATTTTCCCACATTTGTGCACTTTCACAGATACTAAACAGTTCATAAACTACCATTGTTACGCATTTATACCTGAAGAAACACTAAATAGACAAATCTTTTATTTTTTTATTGCTTAGATGTGTGGACGAGTTCACAGCCCACGTGGTGTTAAGTGGTCACTGGAGCCCATAGACATCTACAACGTAAATGCGCCACTCACCTTGAGATATAAGTTCTAAGATCTCAGTACGGTTACAACGTCTGCCCCACCAAAAATGGGTACCCGTCTGCGAGATTCGAACACTGGTGCATCGCTCAACACGAATGAACCGGACGTCTAATCCTTTAGGCCACGACCACTTTTGCTGTCCAACTTCATGTTGTTCAATCCCGTTTTTACAAGATAGCCGTCGGAGCCCCGTGATTCGTCAGGAACATCGACCTGCATGATGACCTGGGCCTAAAGTCCATCAGTAAGTACACAGTGTACAGTCGGCATAAATGCGCCACTTCGATAAAGCGGCACGACACGAGAACCCTCTCATCGTGGCCGCCGGTAACTACATTCCCGATCCTGCGAACAGAATGGAAAGCAGTCAACGTCGCCCAAAACACGCCATTTCGGATCCTCCCGATCCACTAACGGTGCTTTTAGGTACCTCGAGCACCGGTCATCGTTTTACTAGGTTAGTAAACTAGCCCACAGACACAGCCCACTGAGTTTCTCGCCGGATCTTCTCAGTGGGTCGCGTTTCCAATCCGGTGGTAGATTCTGCGAAGCACGGCTCTTGCTAGGCTTCGTGTTATCAACGTCGTCAGGCTTGAGCTCCGCGAGCTCACCTACTAGTTAAGGTTACGCTGAAATAGCCTCTCAAGGCTACCAGCTTATGTAGGCAAAAAAAAGCTCTTATTGGGGAGATATTCATTCCGTTAAAGACTGACAGTATACAGTCGCAGTATCGGAATTAAACGTCATAAATCGTCGCGATTTTTCTACTGTGAACACTGGTGTTTTCACGTGATCAGTTTTATCGTGTTTATCCTCATTTCAATAATGCGGTTATTATGTTAATATATTATGTTAAACTGCCTGATAAACGATATTTTCTTTTACAGAAAAGTATAATTACTTTTATTATGCGATTAATTCAACTGATAATAACTTGAATATTGAATTTGTTATTATATCATATATGCCGCATCTGGACACGCCAGATGAAGCCAAAGCGTGTTTGTTACCTACTGGATGTGAGCCGCAACTACTCGTTAAACATTGGCTCACTTCCGGTGGTGTTCTTCGGCAGAATCGAGGCGTCCGCGTCATCGCTCGAGTGGAATTGAAACACATCGGTTGTCTGACTTAGGAAGAGTGAAGACGTCTCGGAACTGTCATTGTTTCGTGCTACGCAATCTCTTTGCACGATTACTCACCATACGCTCACTATGTCAAGAATTAATGAAGATATCTTTATAATAACTAAATTTAATATTTTTGTTGAAGTGAAAACAACGCTAAAAAACGTCAATGACAGTATATTGTGCTGCGTTTCGTTTTTAAGTGACCAGTTTACCTAATTAAAAAGGAACAGCTTCGCATTACACTAAATTGACGTCACATCTTACAACATAGCCGAAGTTCATAGTTTATGACGCTGTTTTTTAAGTTTTTCTACTTTTTTTATTGCTTAGATGGGTGGACGAGCTCACAGCCCACCTTGTGGGCTAAGTGGCTACTGGAGCCCATAGACATCCACAACGTAAATGCGCCACCCACCTTGAGATATAAGTTCTAATATGTTTTTGTTTCTACTACTCTAGGAGGCATAGCCACGATGACATTAACAATCAAAAACTATTGAACTAAAATGTCTAAGGAACTTCGAAGAATTTCAGGAATATCGAAAACAATTCAACTATTCGGTAGGAGACACAGTAACAAATCGAAAGCAGCAAGTATTAATTTTATATTATTGTACTCATCGTTTGCAATATTTTGAATTATTTAAAAAAAAGAACCAATACGAACACTATCCCGAAATTCAAATCAATAATCAAATTACGATCGTGCTGATATACCAAATTATACTATCCGCTATACCTATACCGTAATTTAAAGCGTTTTATTCAATTTGAATCATGATGAATTCTGGAATGTAAGCCACCTTTTTGGGATGAAAGGATATATTAATGGAGCAGCTGCTTCGTTTGGCTATAGATAAGAACAAGTTAATATTATTGATTACCGGCCTTAGGTAGTGGAGAGGCAACTTAAGAAAATGTTGAAACATTTGCTGAACGTTTACATGGTTTTTTTCTTTTTTTTAAAAACAGCGTCCCTCAACTACAATTTACAAGCACTATGATAGTCAAGGTTTGGTTGTATTTTTTGTATCAGTATCGTTAATGGTTCTATTATCAATAAAAAAAATTACGAATAAAACGACAGATTGATCGTTATTTTGTTTCAATTCGTGCATCATTTTAGAACCGGTATCACTTTAGGAGCAGCTGACTTTTTTTTATTAGTCGGCCATATATTTCGGGAATATTTTACTTCCATGGCTTCTGTAAGTCATCAACAAAGTTTTTAAAATAATTTCCCCGACAGAAACCTCTTAAAGTTCAAATTGGAATCAGAACGAGACACACGAAAAAAAAATACCTGTTTTGGTTACCTACTTCAAAATATCGTCCTATCGAAATATTATATAGGTATTATAAAGAAAACAAAGTAGGGATGTCGCATACTCCCTTATGATCCATTTACCGTTGAATACCTATACGTATTATAATAATATAATAGGAAAGCGTTGGAAATAAAGCGATATAAATAAATAATAAAGCTTAGAATATTCTAAGCTTCAATTATGTAGTTGAAATCGACGAATAAATTACGAAAATGTTATTATGGGTTGTATCTTACCTAATTTTATACTAATATTGAAACTTAACATAAGCTGTCTGGCACATTCCCTTTTTTTTTAAGAAGAGTTACTGGTGGCTCGTAGTCCTTCCCGGTTTCACTAGGACAGGTGGGGTTCAGCCAGGAGGGGATGGGATTAGCTGACAGCTGCCCGAACACCTCCAAAGGAGTCCTAACAACTCTTTTTTTTTCTTTCGGGCCGGGAGCCGAACTTCCAACGATCTGCAGATGTTGAGAGCAGACTGCGGGCCCAAGGAATTTTAGGGCCCACCCACTAAACGGCTCCCTTGCACTCTTACACCCGACGTCCGATCTCTATCCGGGGTCAGAACCCGGTCAGAGTAGGGGCGTTCCCTCGGTTAACACTACAACCAGAGACGCGGCGCCACCCTGAGGACGCCCGACCGACGGGTCGTCGAGCCGCTGGTGTTCCGGGATACCCCGCTGGGCCAGAACCAGGCTGCCGGGTCGGAACGCGATACACCGCCGACCAGGTTGCTCTTCCACAGTATGTTCGGCGACGACAGCGACGACGAAAATGCGGACCGCATCGTAGTCCGCAGCCGCCGACGCGCCGTCCTGTCCTCCTGGTGCCAGCGCGCTAAAGTGACGGTAGCGTGTGGCGCAGTCTCAACCCTCTTAGGTTGGCTGCCTCCTCCCATCACCGGGAGGAAGCTGCCTCCTCATAGGGGCCGGAGCTGGACAAACGACCTCCTCCGGCCCCCGACTCGGCGGCGGCGGCACGGCGCCGAGAGGGAAGAAGAGCTCTCCCTCTCCCGTTCCGCCGAGACCTAACAACTTTAGAGCAACTGTATCGCGAATGAATATACTATCGGATCGAAATTACGACCCGCTAAGAAGATCCAGCGAGAAACTCAGCGGGCCGATGTATGGGTTAGGTTGCACGTCGAAATTTAGCTCAAGTTCGAGGAGTTCAGCTACAGGGGTCCCTAAGTCTGTTCCTAGAGCTGAAGGTATGAACATTAAATGAGTTATTGGATCTAATGGATCCGCAAGGACGTGTCTAGGGCGTCGATGGTGACTGGCGCCTGCGTGGGTAGGAGTCGGAAGTGGTCAGCGGCGGCAATGATAAGGCGACTATCATAACACATCATAGCCTTATTAAAGTACCGTTCCGATGCTGACTTCAGATGTTCGGGACATGACCGTGTAGTGTTTTGTTAAAAACCTACTTCACCTGTTGACATAAAGAGCTTTTAGATATTATTACTGGTCGCCCGATAGTCGAAATTCGACTATAATTAATTGAAATTAAAAGTTTGTACACTATTATGATTCTATTTTCAAAGACTATTATACTTCTATAAAAAAAAAAGAAAAAATTACATTCTGCACTCCTTCTTCCATATTCTCTATAAGTGTGGAAAATTTCATACTCCTCCGTCCGCGAAATTTTCGTAAAAAGGGATACAAAGTGCTTCCTTCACGTATTAATATATAGATTACAAGTAGGGATCGGGATAATCTGCGAATTCCGTTTTTAGGATGATTTCCGTTTTCCTAAAAACTGACAACGTAAATACGCCACTCGCCTTGAGATATAAGTTCTAAGGTTTCAGTATAGTTCCAACGACTGCCCCACCCTTCAAACCGAAACACTTTACTGCTTCACGGCAGAAATACGCTACTATTATTACACAAAAATATACATAAATACTACACAAAGCTCTCCCTTGCTTACCTCCCTCCTCCCTCCCTTGTTCTTGAAGACGGCACTCTTGTCTATATAGTATCCAATCGTTACTATTGATCAATCACAATGTCTGACATTCAGGATAAACAGGTGCGAATATATCAACCCACTTACCAATTAAATCCGAGAAAACGTTTCAATGTCGAAAAAGTCGAAAAGATGCTTAACACAATTTTGGATTCTGAATTAGCAGAAGTTGAATATAGTGAGAAGTTAATTCCCGAACTGTGTATGAATCTGGCTGACAGTATACGGATCTCCGTAAAAGAGGAAAACTATGACAGGTACGTTTTATATTACCGCATTTATTTCGATATTAATTTTTATTGATTCTAGTTCTTATAATAATATATCTCATCGAGACGATTAAAATCAATTATAAATAGCTTTCTAATAAATAAGCAAAGAATTGGAATTTTAAACAAAGAACAGAATTGTACGATTGTGGAAGAAAATACGGAGAACATGTTTATGGTTTTCATTCAGTTTAAAAGACGAACTTTTACTTGTCTGTTGTTCCTTTTATTTTATTAAAAGGACATCTTTTTTTAATAAAATTGTAAAAGGTATTCCAGTATATTTTACCTTTTTTTATATTTTATCCCCGTAATCATCACACATACAGATTATTAAAAACATTATAAATGGTGTTTCATTAAAAATAAATACATACTTCTGTTTGATAATCGCGCGCTTCATAATCTAAATTATCTGCAAAATAATAGCATGTACTATGTTGTATAATAGAAATGTTTGGTAATACATATTATTTTACCAGAAATCCTCTCGGATCTTCTCATACATAGAGCACATTAACATTCGACGCATGATATCCACAGCCGATATAAAAAATGATAGCCGGCGCTTCGGCATATTCTTGCTGTGGATTTTATTTAGGCGAAAAAAAGACGTAGCCATTTACTAAGATTTCCCTGAACTGTCATCCTTTTAAGTAACACTTTACTTTAAAACTACTCGGTGTTATTATAAAGAATGAATACAAGGGAAAAAGAGAGAAAGTGAGACGAAGGAGCATAAAATATATAACATTAAGAAATGATTTTCACTAGTCAACTTCTGACGCAAGACACACTCTAACCCATAGATACAGCCCACTAAGTTTCTCGCCGGATCTTCTCAGTGGGTCACGTTTCCGATCCGGCGGTAGATTCTGCGAAGCACTGCTCTTGCTAGGACCAATGTTACCAGCACTTCCGGTTTGAGCCCCGTGAGCTCACCTACACGTCAAGGAGAAGCTGAAATAGCCTCTCAAGCCTATCAGCATAGACAGGGGAAAAAAAACATAGTAGGTACTTATGTTCAATTCCAACTGACAATGCTATTATTATATTGTCGTCGAAGATGTAAAAACAGTACATGCCTTATAAATATTAGATATACCTCATGGTTAACGAAAAACGATTCTACCACCGGCACAAAACAGACGAGAATGGTTTGAACACGATTTAACGTTGGAGCGTTTTGATGAGGTGACAACCGTCCTCCTCCCTCATTGCGTCGCTTTACTGATTACTGGGTGTAGTGACTCCCCCGCTGCATCATTCTCTCATGCACAATTGTCCTCAATTTGCTGCGATCCTTGGCTTCGCGGAGGGAATCGTGGAGCTTGTTGTCCAAACAAGATCGAATTTGGTCCGACCATGTCGTGGGACTGCGTTCTCTGGGACGTTTGCCCTTTATCTTGTGTGTCACCATCAGCTGTTCAAGATTGTAACCCTCTTTTTAATACGCTTTTATTAGCTTCAGAAGTATGTATGTAACAGAATATTTGAACGTGATTTTGACCCCCTTCAAAACGTCGGATTAACTCGAAATTTAGTATACTTATTAAGGACCGATGACAATTCAATATTTAAAAAAATGTTGAAAAAATTTAAATTCAACTAAAAAATGGAAAATAAATAATAGTTTAATGAACTAACAAAATACGCTTTTATAGAAAATCGAACTAAAAAATAGAAAATAAATTTTAATTAAAAATAGTGTAAGAAAAAATGATTTTATTGTAAAAAAAGCGTGGGGTGCATGGTATCAGTAGTTATAAATCTATATCTATACTAATATTATAAAGAGGAAAGATTTGTTTGTTTGTTTGTTTCGAATAGGCTCCGAAACTACTGGACCGATTTGAAAAATTCTTTTTCCATTAGAAGCCGACATTGTCCCTGATGAACATAGGCTACTTTTTTTTTAATTTTTTTTTTTATTTTTTATTTTTTGGTTTCATGTGTGTTTTAATGTTTCCGAAGCGAAGCGAGGGCGGGTCGCTAGTATTTTATAAACAGATATGAGTAGAAGGGTTATTTTGATAATATCCTGAAAAGCACCCCACTCCCTCCACACACAGTAGCATTTTTTAGTTGGATTTTCTATAAAAGCGTATTTTGTTAGTTTTTTTAAACTATTATTATATTTTTATGTTTTTTCTTTACTTGTTACAGATACAGGATCATAGTTTCAGTGAGCATAGGCCAACGTCGTCAGCAAAGCGTACACGTGTTCCATTCGTTCCTCTGGGATCCGGAACGTGACGGATTCGCGGCTGCAACTTATGAGAATTGTCATTTATACGCTTACGTCGTTGTTTACGCAGTTTACTTAGATTAAAATAATAAAAAAAATGTGTACTGTAATGAATAATAGATCAGTGATCTAGTAAAATTCGACTTTTAAAAAAAAATCGACGTCGTCGTGGCCTAAAGGATAAGACGTCCGGTGCATTCGTATCGAGCGATGCACCGATGTTCGAATCCCGCTGGCGGGTACCAATTTTTCTAATGAAATACGTACTCAGCAAATGTTCACGATTGACTTCCACGGTGAAGGAATAACATCGTGCAATAAAAATCAAACCCGCAGAATTATAATTTGCGTAATTACTGGTGGTAGGACCTCTTGTGAGTCCGCACGGGTAGGTACCACCGCCCCGCCTATTTTTGCCGTGAAGCAGTAATGCGTTTCGGTTTGAAGGGTGGGGCAGCCGTTGTGACTATACTGAGACCTTAGAACTATATCTCAAGGTGTGTGGCGCATTTACGTTGTAGATGTCTATGGGATCCAGTAACCACTTAACACCAGGTGGGCTAGGAGCTCGTCCACACATGTAAGCAATAAAAAAAAAAAAAAAAATATTGGCTCAAAAAGGGGAACCGCTATGTTCATTACCTGCATCTGGTGGGAAGGGCGCAGTCCGACAAGGTGGTTCGACAAATCCGCACCACACTAGAGATCTCATTTCACGACGCCCTTCATGCGGCCAATGATCGGAGGCGCTGGCGGGACACATTACAAGGAGCAAAATCCTGTCGCCATATAATGGTCACGACCCTCAGCAGTGAGGAAACGACGCGAGGAGGACCTGGTGATGACCCAGGAAAGATCATCCTGACAAAATTATTTATTTATTTAATCTATTTATTGTTAACATAGAAGTAGAAACACAATGATGAGAGATCGAACCCATTTATCTTAGTACAGTGCACTAAAACAGTAGGTAATTAGAGTAACATCCTATTTTGTCACAGCCAATATTGTTGACAAGGTTCGCACATTTATAGATAGTTTAATAAATTTTCATGCCTAAATACCATTTCCTGAGATTTTCTAAAATGTTTTAGATGTACTTTTTTGCCTACCTATTGCTATTAACCTCAGTTGGCTTTGCAAGCTTCACCGAATGTGTAGGCGTGCTCACTGAACTCAGCCTGGGAGATTGCTAACATCAGCTCACATCTACATAAGCCCAAACAGTCACATTCCTTTTTTTTATTGCTTAGGTGGGTGGACGAGTTCAAGGCCCGTCTGATGTTAAGTAGTTACCCAAGGCCATAGACATCTACAACGTAAATATCGCCACCTACCTTGAGACATGAGTTCTAAGGTTTTACAGTACAACGGCTGCCCCACCCTTCAAAACGAAACGCATTTAGCACTTAGTTACAAAACCCGTTGAAATTGTAGCTTAGGCTCGGCTTAAACGGATAACCGATCATAGCCACCAGGGGCCAGCGACAACCACTTCACGGGTTTTTTCACGCAACACCACCACATGTGGTCGATTGCCCCCGCAGTCATTGTTTCAAAGGAGCACGCGACAGTCACCGGTGACCCATTTGTAAGACTTGTTAACGTAAGTATAATACAATTTAACGGCCGTCTCGTGGAGTGGTAAAATGACATGGTCACTACACAAGGGGGTCGCGGGTTCGAATCCCGCCAAGGGAACATATTTGTATGATAAATATAAATGTCTTTTCCAGGGTTATGGATGTATATTAAATATATGTATGTGTATAATAAAAATCTTACATTTGTTTCCGTTATCTGGTACCTGTAACACAAGTTCTTTACGAACTTATCACGGGACCAGTTAACGTGGCGTGATTGTTAGTAAATATTTATTTAATATTTATTTATTTATTATTATATTTACAATTTTTTTTAAAGTTGTAAATAAATGATAAGACATAATATGGCATTATTCAACCATAATTTATAACTAATTTATTCATCAGAAAAGGTACTACTCTAAATGGAATACACGAACGAAATAAAACACGAATTGCGATTTTACAGATCATACATATTTATTTATCCATTTCATAGTAGAGATATCACACTGGCCCGCCCTTATAAAAATAAATGTGTAATACAATAAACGACCCAGTCTGAGTTGGCTGGTGTGACAGCGCGAGTTTCACCATCATCTTTAAAATATCTCGCGTCTTATAAATATTGGCATCATATTCGACACTAACCTACAACAATTTGGACACAATCACAAACAACGCGATCACTCCAGCTTCCCCTTTATTGAATTCCATCAAATACTCTTATAGGAGAAAAAATACAGAGATTTCTAAACCATTATACAGGTCGATTACATAAGATTTAATCAATATAAGTTTAAATCGAGTGAAATTCGCATAATATATTTGACACACAAAGCGATTGAATATTACCGATAAGAAAAAATAGCTAAGATATTGGTCCAAGACACAGAAGCGAGATATAACCGCGTATAAATGCGAAACTAGCACCAAGCCACCGTACGATAAACGAAGCGGCACGCTCAGCAGTGTTGCCGCTCGTGTCTCCACTACACGCCATACAAAAGCTACAGAAGGCTAACAGCCTTCACCTTGGTGTTGCCAGCCAGCGCTCCTCGCGCCCAACGGCGGCCGGTACTCACCGTCTGCTACACAACACGCACTTAACGCAAATTATGCTCACTAAAAACATTCAAAAAGGGTAAAAATTTATAAAAAATCGAGTCTGTTGAACAAGTCGGAGTTACGAAACGAGCATATTTTCCGTCAGCGGCAGTGTTGCCAACTAATACTTGAGCAGCGTTTGGAAAGTGCAATTTTATTCCGGGCTCTCCGGACTACTTTCAGCCTCTCGGTATTACATTAAACATCCGCATGATATGTGATTTACAGATCAATATTCCATTAGTACTCGGTACATATACCTATATCCGCACTGTACATAAAATAGCGGTGGTGTTTTACTTACAACCTTAGGGAATACGAAATAGTACAAATATATACTAGGTATCAAAGAAATGCAACGAACATTGGTATCAAAATATTCATTCTAATATATTAAACGGTGTAAGAGTGCACGTTACATTAGATATGTGTACAAAGATACTTGAATACTTCGCTTGAGACGTCATTACGATCACTCCAGATTAGTCCAGATACAAAAATTATCTTACGACGTAGATTAAAAAATATAAGTCCGCCAGGAATGTTTAAGAATATTAAGGATGTCAATAGCACAAATACATCGGATAATCAGTTAATTAAGCTCGTGTCCCGGCTCGCCGAGGCGGATCGCGAAACCGCGACAAGTTCCATCCCGTACCACACAATGACTGGTGCGTTGTAAACAATTCCACAGAAGATCACTTAACTACAACATCAATCAAAAATCGTCTAAGTATAAAAAATAGAATGTTTCAAAAATGAACGTACAAAAAATAACGTTATCATTGGTGGGCAGCATCGATTATCGAAACGTCTAGAAGTAATAGGTCTTCACCGCACAAGGATACGGACATGCCGAGAGTAATGTTGCGCCCATTGATACACGTATGACGTACGAATGAGCATATTGATCCAGATGCACTTGGAGGATCAGTCGTGGGCTGATGCTATGGCTCCAGAACTAGAAGCAATCTAGCCAATTTAGAGATGTCTTACCACGTCGTCACATTGATCGCTTTGTGGGATTATCGGTATGTCCCAACCCTCAGTGGGTGAAAGAGAGAGAAAGAGAGAGAGAGCGAGTGAGATAGTGGTCAGTGGCGTCGGGACGTGGCCGAGCTCGACCCGAGGGCGGGTGTGGGTCTAGGGGTCTAATTTAAACATTCACTAATAAAATATTAAAGCCTAACATACATAAAGATTAAGCATTTCTGCACCTTACGATATATATAATAGCCATTAAAAATAACTGCAGATTAAAATATCTCATCTTAAAAAATTAAAAAGTCTTAAACGTTAAACTATAATATAATAATAATTAAAAAAAAAGACTCGTACGATCAAACAATTAATCTTAACTTAGGCCAAATTAATTCACAAAAGAAGAGATACGAAATTTAAAAAAAAATATAGAAAAAAAAATCATTGTCGGCGTCACGATTTATCGTGAGAGAAATAATTTATTGAAAGAATAAAATAATGATGTTCATTAATTTAAGAATAAATGTAGGGCAGCGAGAGAGCCGGTCGCACAGACGGTCTCTTAGGGTTGTAATCACTTAACACAAACACAATATAATATAAGACGAGGCAACACAGTGATAGGACGCCGCGCGTCCCGCAGCAGCTTCAACATTAAAATAATCGAATGCGGTGGTTTGTATGCTTCACTCCTTCCGGCGAACGATTCAGCTAGACTCTTTCTCCTTCTCCTTCNTAGGGCAGCAAGAGAGCCGGTCGCACAGACGGTCTCTTAGGGTTGTAATCACTTAACACAAACACAATATAATATAAGACGAGGCAACACAGTGATAGGACGCCGCGCGTCCCGCAGCAGCTTCAACATTAAAATAATCGAATGCGGTGGTTTGTATGCTTCACTCCTTCCGGCGAACGATTCAGCTAGACTCTTTCTCCTTCTCCTTCGACTCTGGAATCGGATTGTGACGTCACTATGCATATTCGAATACAAATCATTCATTAATATCACTAAAGAAATCTAAAATGAGAAAGCCATGGCGTAGGCGGTGTCTTTTGCATTTAGTCGAATATATAAATTTTGTATAGGTACGTGGGATGATTCTTTTTTTGAAAAGATTAAAGCCGATTGCAACTAAAAGTGCGTCGTGTTAATAAAATAAAAATAAACGCGTTCATAATGACCTGCCCGTCTGCCATAGTTGTATTCTGATTTTTGATTTTCGAAGATCGTTGACCCGACTTCATATGACCGAATCGGCTAAACGTAACACTGTGACAGCCCTTAGACGTGTTTCCGTACAAAATCACGATCGATGCGAAAGCGTTCGTAGTGGCCCAGTCGCATTCAAATGATCAAAGAACCCTTTAACTAATTTCTAAATGCGTCTTAAATACTAAGCAACACGTCTACCTGTTCTGCGTGTTCTTATGAAGCAAGCAAGTCTAAAGGCTGTATGTTACTTCTCGACGAGAAGAGTCTAGATGCGTTTAGCCGTGCGTAGTTTGATGGTTAAGCAAAAACAAAATATTCCGATCGCCCACGCGCCATATTCGATCTTAATACGATGTGTTCAGACAGAAAACGGCATGGCGCGTGCGATCGATGAACGCTGAGTTGCATCACTAATGTTTAACTACCAAAAATAAATAAAAAATGCCTTTATTACAAAGTTTGTCTTGAACAGATACCACGATTTAAATTAAAAAAAAAAGAGGAAAAATATTGATTTATGATGAAAAAATTTTTATTCAAACCCCGAATTTTCGGCGATTTTTAACTGATTTGAAAAAAGAGGCGAATCTCAATTTAATAATATTTTTTGTGTACTACCAGAATAATGTTTTCTAGGTTTTAAATATTCTTTTAATAAACTTCAACTACAATGATGAAATTCTCTATTTCGATGAAGCCACCATTATTTTTTTGTTAACATTTTGTTTCATTTTTCCTTTACTACAACAAGTCTAATGTATCCTGTATGTAACATTGTTGTCATCGCCTCAGTCACTGTACCAGGGGCTTCCGGTTCGGTTACCGACGCTGACAGATATTTAGAATTCTTTCTTTGGGTGTATTCACTTTTATTTTAAATGTGTTCTCAGGCATAGCACAAGTTAAAATTTAATTTAAGACCAAATCAAGAAATACAATTTTTCGAAAAATGGCAAAACTGTGTTCTTCGTGACAGTTAAAGCACTTTTCGAAAATGGACAACTTTAAGAAAAAATCCTGCCCACTCATTCTTTTCGCCAACAAACATACCGAAGCGCTAATGTCTGTTTATTTACGAGGAAATTTATGAAATCTTTTGGGAATTTATTGATTTTCGGTATCGGTCAAAAACTAGTGATGTGTATCGTGAAGCAACTACGCATGCCGGTCACAAGAGCCGGGACTGACCTTCGTCGCTGTTACCGTTAGAGGGCGGCTCCTCACCGTTCTTGTCCCCGTTTTCGGCTGGCTTTTTCTCATCGTCCTTGCCCTCCTTGTCCTTCTTCTCCTCAGAGCTCTCCTTGGCCGGCTTCTTCTCCTTGCCGGATTTGCCTTTAGCGGGAGTGGCCGGCTTAGGCTTCGGCTCGAGGGACGGGTCCAGGACGAGCTTGCCGATGTTCTTGCGGTCGTGCATCTTCTGCATGGCTTCGCCCACCTGTTTGATGAAATGTAAGCTACAGAGTTGTTACCGACACAAGATTCCACCATTACAGCGTTATAAATTAGAATTGCCATTCGAGTAATTCCGTTGATATAAGTAGGATAATTACGAGCATACGTCTTGTACGTAATTCTAAATTAATCTCTGAGGGCTGAAATCGGCCCATTGACCAAACTTAACTAACTTACTAAACTTACTAAATTGTACACACAAGCCGTGCCTAATGGTTAAGTATTTACTGGAGCCTATGAACAATGCAATAGAAATGCCGCCCCCAATCTTGAACCATGAGGTCAAAGTCTCTATTGCATCGACTAACGCCTGCTTCATCCTTCAAAAAGGGATGGTTTCGCGTCTGAGACATACAGAGAGAGATGGTGGCTTATGGTATGAAGGTGGGGGTTTACAATACTCCTCGCCACTAGGTGCTTTTGCATACCCGAAGCACCGGTCATCGTTCACGTCGAACCCGTCGCTTGCGACGAAGGGCTCGGCAAGTATATTAACCCACAGGCACAGCCCACTAAGTTTCTCGCCAGATATTCTCAGTGGGTCGCGTTTCCGATCGATTAGATTCTCGCTAGGGTTTGTGTTAGCAAGAACGACAGGTTTGAGCCCCGTGAGCTCACCTACTCGCCCGGTTACGCTGACACGGTCTCTCAAGTCCATCAGCTTGGGTAGGAAACAAAAAAGGCACCGGTTAACTCAAATAGGACGATAGCTGTAAAGTGAATCTCGAGAAGGACACAAGAGAGCAGTGTTCTTAACGTTCTCGATAGCGTAAAAGTTAGCCAATTTTGTATGCAGTTGGAACAGCGCTCCCAGCGGCAAACGTACGCAACCAATGCCATTCCATACAAATATGAGTTAACTTTTACGCCATCGAGAACGTTAAGAAACTCGCACTAAGCACACAGATAAGGGCATAGACGTACATCCTCGAGGGCCCACGTAGAGTCGACGATGGGCTTGACCTTGCCCTGCGCCCAGAGAGTGAAGACGCTGTGCACGGCGCGCCGCACCGTGTCCCCGCGCCCGTGCTGGAACAGCAGGTGCCGCAGGTTCAGTCCCGCCAGGCTCTTGTTCTCGTCGAACAGCTTGATCGGAGACACCTTGTCCACTTGCCACCACTGTCACGCAAACAACAGCTTATTACCGATTATCACACATAAATTTTAACCAATTCTTCTAATGAAATATATCTTATACCTTTAAACGAGCAATTCTTGTATTATATATATGTATATATATATAAGAGGTGATTATTGAAAACACGAATAAAACAACATTTTCTGGTCATCTGATTCAGATTATATATATATATAATCTGAATCTCGGAAACGGCTCCAACGATTTTCATAAAATTTAGTATACAGGGGATTTCGGGGGCGATAAATCGATCTAGCTACGATTTATTTTCAGAAAATGTTGTTTTATTCGTGTTTTCAATAATCACCTCTTCCCGACATCTATTGGCGAATAATAATACTATTTTTCTTAATTGAGGGCAACTAACCGCTTTAAAGACACAACAAGATGGCGTTATCAAAAAAATAGTCATCTAGTACGTACTTAACAAACGTTCACGATTGACTTCCACGGTGAAGGAATAGCATCGTGTAATAAAAATCAAACCCGCAAAATTATAATTTGCGTAATTACTGGTGGTAGGACCTCTTGTGAGTCCGGTACCTACCCGAGGTACCACCGCCCCGCCTATTTCTGCCGTGAAGCAGTAATGCGTTTCGGTTTAAAGGGTGGGGCAGCCGTTGTAACTATACTTGAGACATTAGAACTTATATCTCAAGGTGGGTGGTGCCTATGTAGTTGTTGTAGATGTCTATGGGCTCCAGTACCTTAACAACAGGTGGGCGGTGAGCTCGTCCGTCTAAGCAATAAAAAAAAACATCAATTATCAATATCTATACTAATGTTATAAAGCTGAAGAGTTTGTTTGTTTGAACGCGCTAATCTCAGGAACTACTGGTCCGATTTGAAAAATTCTTTCAGTGTTAGATAGCCCATTTATCGAGGAAGTCTATAGGCTATATACATCACGCTAAGACCAATACAAGCGAAGCACCAAAAAAGAATGTTTCAAAATCGGTGTTTTGTTTTCTCTTTTGAGAGCTTCCGCTGCCAGTATGCTGCCAATAATGTATGACAGAATTGTTCCCCTTTAAAAGATCTAAAAAAAGTCCACGACAGCATATGTCTATATGTTAAGGTTGGCTCACTATAACGTTTTTTATGCTAGCCAAATTTGTTCTAAAATAAAGCATTATTTGTGAACTATTCCACGCGGACGAAGTCGCGGGCAAAAGCTAGTCTTTTATATATATATATATATATAGTTGTTAAACTTTATTTGTCTTGTCCAACAGTGGATTCGTGGTAAAAACTGGAAGCATGTGTTGTCACTTAGTGCGTTCAAAATAAATATCCTTTGTTAAAATCCGCAAAATAAAAAGCGTGTTTGTCTGTTCAACTGTACTCTATGGGTTCTGTAAAAAAAACATTGACATTAAAGCGAGACAGAGAGATAGTCCCGTCCTGTCTGCAATAGTTCGCCTCCCTTCAAGCTAGATCTAGACAATGGTTGGCAAAAATCGTAGAATGATGACTTACCGCACGGGCAGCGCTGAAGAAGCTCTTTGTCTCGCCGGTCACGATGTTAGATGATCCTGCGACAAACATCATTGTTTAATCGGCACACTCGAGTGATAAGTACTCGAGCGGAATGCGCTGTGCTCTGTTTACAGATTCAAGGAATCGCAAAACGGATATTACGCGAGAAAATACCAATCAATTCACTTGTTTTTTTTCTTGCGTTCCAGATTCAAATGCACTTATTTTTTTCTTTCTTTTCTTGTGTTCCAGATACATAAATTTATTTATGAGCTCTATACGAAGTTATCGTCAGTTCAGCAAATTATTGTCATTTTTTTTGTTATTGCCCGTGTAGGCAGACGAGCATACGGCCCACCTGGTGGTAAGTGGTTACCGTCGCTCATGGACGTCAGCAATGCCAGGAGCAGAGCCAAGCCGCTGGTTAAAAAATTCTATAAATTGAAATAAAACAAAATGGTTGAGATTTTATAAAAACTTATCACTTTTATTTCGAAGTTGACAAAGTTAATTTTTATTCCTGTATCATTTTAAGCTGCACAAAGAGATCTCGTAATTTTCTTACCATAGAGGATGTAACGGCCCATTGGCTTCAGAAGCGAATACCCGCGGTTGCACTCCTCTCCGCAGAGGCAATCCAGCACAATGTCTACGCCATCCGGAGTTACCCTGAACAAGCGGTATTGGGTCCGTTAAGCCTATTTTCCACATAAATTCAAAGGGTTTTTTGTAACTGAACACATTTTTCGTGGGTTACTTTTATTTACAGTCATGATTACCTACAGGCCGTAATTCTATTAGAATCCTGTTACAAAAGATTAGCTCTTATGATGATCACATTTCCGATAAGTAGAGATTGCATAGGTTTTTGGTACATTGGTAATAGTAACGTAATGATATTAAAGATATCATCAAAGATGTTTGTAGACCTATTTTTCTCCGAGCCTGAGAAAACTTTAAACTAGTTCGAGTTATGTATTTTAATTAACAGTTTCCATATTTTGAAATATTGATCAACTCATATAAAATGCATTTATAACGGTTTATTAATAAGCTTGTATGTACATATGTACATCTGCTGACGAGTCACCGAGCAAGTCGAGAAATGATAAATCATATCTTAGTTTATAAATAACATATTGATATTAACATACAAGTATAAGTTTGGTGGACTCAAGAAAAAACATAATAACGCACAGTCTCCGGCGTAAACCAGATAACGACATTGTTTATTTACATTGAACTTGTGGGTGGCTCTCTGTTTACGTTGCGAAGAGCAACATATTACATATAAAAATATATATATATATCTTTGTCCGTTTACGAGAATCAAATGAGTCGGTTGTTAGGAAGCAGCTGCCCCAAAGCATCGGTTATAAACTGTACAATCAACGGAGTCGTAACCAATCTAATCGGACCTCGATCGAGACGCCCGAGAATTCCCGTCAACCGGTTATGGATAAGAGGAGCAGGAACGATTCACTCTGTCAAAAACATTTCGGTGCACGCTCCGGCATGATCTTCGATGTAATATTATTTACGTCGCGTACCGATGACAATGTAAGCGTCATACGAAATTCTGACGATGCAAAGACTGCGATGTGAATATTAAATCTATATATGATTAATCTTTTTAAGAAGATTGCGCGGACGGAGGAGTATGAAATTTCCCACACTTATAGAGAATATAGAGAAGGAGTGCAGAATGTTAATATTTTTTTAAATTATGCCTAAAAATACATTAAATCAATAAAAAAACATCACATACACTACCATGTATTTGACACACACACACATATATAAACTCTTTGTTTATTGTCAAACTTTTGTTACTATTTATTGTCAAACTTTTGTTCTTGACGTCTGTGGTCAAATCGAGAATAGATTAAATATTGTTTGTCTTTATTAATATTTTTCTATAGTGTAGTCTTGGCGAAATTTGTGATTATAGAAGTATAATAGTTTTTGGAAATAGAATCATAATAGTGTACAAACTTATAATTTCAATTAATTATAGTCGAATTTCGACTACCGGGCGACCACTAGTTTGTTTAATACCTTAAAAACATTGATTCAAGGAATTCTATATTAAAATACGTTTAGGTACTAATGTTTACTTTTTTATTAATGTAGTTCAACTGGCTGAACTACTATCCTTAATAATAGACCACCGTGTTTCTGTACTTAAAATAATCTCTGAAGGATTATATCGGAGCGAGAAAGCTTAGATGAGGCTTAGCCCTAAAAGATCCTAGTCGGCTGGCGACCCGTCAGCGGTCAGTGAAATAACTAACAGTAATAATGAACAATTAACAGAGCCTGGGATCGAGAGCAATTCGGTACAAGAGGATATAAACGGGAGCGTTGAATTCCTTATTAAATATGACACATGGCTCACATATTGTACACTAATTGCTCAGAATCATCTGCGGCTTAAAATGATGACCGTTAATCTGTTTTAACATGGCTTTCCATTAAAAAGTTTCGTGAATTATATATAACTAGCAGATCCGGCAGACTTCGTAGTTCCTCAATCGATAAATAAAAGACCAAGACTTTGGAAGAAAATAAACTTAAAACAAACAAAAGGAATCCGTCCGACGGGGGACACATCAAAGGAAAAACAAAATTGTTATATTTATTTAATTCCGAGCATTTTCATATTGATCTACCTTTTAAACCTTCTCTGGACGTCCTCAAATAATTCAAGACCAAAATTAGCCAAATCGGTCCAGCCGTTCTCGAGTTTTAGCGAGACTAACGAACAGCAATTCATTTATATATATATAGATAGATAGATAGATAGATAGATAGATAGATAGATGTACATCTTACTAATTATTATCATGTCACAGCAACGCTTCGTTTGAAACGAGCATTAACATTCCTGAATTCTACAAGTTTTCAGCGTGTAACGTAAACAAAGGTTTAGTTAGAAGATGAAGGGCCACTGAACGGGCGGGCCGGTTGGTTATATTTAGCCACACGATATCACGAAACCATTCCAGCCCCCCATTTTTAGAATTCCAAACAATTATTGAACCGATCGATCTAAATTCGAAGGTTTGTTTTATTTAATTCTTTTATAACGCGCGAGTAACATAACATTAAATACGTAACAGGTGATCATTATGCAAAGGACCAGTCTCCAAAAACGCCGACACGTAAAATTTGCGCAGACGCATCGGCTAACACAATCTTTTTTATGCGTTCTTTTTTTTGATTCATTGAATTTTTGATTTAGTTCATTTGATGACCTCATCACATTCCTGATGGGAGATATGGTATTTGGTAATGGTATTTGCTGTCGGAAACTGATTATTTATTCGACAATCGAAAACAATGAAATCTTTCATTACACGAATACCATTTTATTATTTATAGCGACCCGCCCTCGCTTCGCTTCGGAAACATTAAAACACATGAAACCAAAAAAAATAAAATAAAATAAAAATTAAAAAAAGTAGCCTATGTTCATCAGGGACAATGTCGGCTTCTAATGGAAAAATAATTTTTCAAATCGGTCCAGTACTTTCGGAGCCTATTCGAAACAAACAAACAAACAAATCTTTCCTCTTTATAATATTAGTATAGATATAGATGTTTCGACCTAAATTCAGTACAAAGAAGGATAAAAATGAAACGAAACATATTCGCGAGGTGAAAAGCTATTTGGTTTTAGCGACATTTCAGCTAATACACGACATTAATCTCTGTGATTAAAAGTATTAGTAGTACTAGTGGTCCCGCAGTAGTCGAAATTCGACTATAATTAATTGGAATTGTAAGTTTGTACACTATTATGATTGTATTTTATACTTCTATAATCACAAATTTCGTCAAGACTACACTATAAAAAATATTAACAAAGACAAACAATATTCTATTCTCAATTTGACAACAGACGTCAAGAACAAAAGTTTGACAATAAATAGTATGCATGCGTGTGTGCGTCAAATACATGGTCTGTAGTGTGTGTTATGTTTTCTTTATTGATTTAATGTGTCTTTTATGCATTATTTTAAAAAAAAATTTGCATTGTGCACTTCTTCTCTATATTCTCTATAAGTGTGGAAAATTTCATAATCCTTCGTCCCCGCAATTTTCGTAAAAAGGGGTACAAAGTATTTGCTTCACGTATGAATTTATAGATATGGATATGGGTTTTGAACTCACTTCCTGACTTCGCTGGTGTAGTCGCTGCCCCTCTCGAGCAGATGATCGATGTTATTGTTGTTTGTCTTCAGCGCCTCGTGCTTGCTTTTGGAGCAGACACCAAATACGGTCACGTTCTCGACCGTCTTCGCCAACTGGGCTACAGCTTGTCCCTACACATAATACATGTATGCGATCACTTGAACTACCTTAAAAGCGACCAATATCTAGAGTTAGATGACGGCACGACACGAAAACCCTCTTGTCGTGGCCGCCAGAAATTACATTTTTTTTTTATTGCCCTTGTAGGCAAACGAGCATATGGCCCATCTGATGGTGAGTGGTTACCATCGCCCATGGACTTCAGTAATGCCTGGGGCAGAGGCAAGCCGCTGCCTACCGCTGCCAAGCCGCTGCCTACATACCCGATCCTGTGGACGGAATGGTAAACAGTCGACATCACCCTAAGCACGTCATTACGGATCCTCCCGATCCATTAACGGTGCCTTTAGGTACCTCAAGTGAATTTAACTAGCACAAATTAAAATGTGAATGGATTTGACAGTATTCATGACGCTATATTACATATTACCATAAATCTCAATACAACTTCAAAATTTCAATACATAATTTCGTACAACGCGTAAATTCACGTATTTTATTTGAAATTATTTTTATATTTTTAACTGGTGGTAGGACCTCTTGTGAGTCCGCGCGGATAGGTATCACCACCCTGCCTATTTCTGCCGTGCAGTAATGCGTTTCGGGTTGAAGGGTAGGGCAGCCGTTGTAACTATACATGAGACCTTAGAACTTATGTCTCAAGATGGGTGGCGCATTTACGTTGTAGATGTCTATGGGCTCCAGTAACCACTTAACACCAGGTGGGCTGTGAGCTCGTCCACCCATCTAAGCAATAAAAAATAAAAAAAATATTATTCCCGACATTTCGAATATTTCAACAGTTTTCGTGATGACGGACGACTGAGGTGTTATTTGTCGACATCACCAAACTAAACGCAAGAATAAACCGTAAAAGTATTTTTGATTATCAACTGGCGAACATCGAAAAAAAAACTGATATTCACAAAATAAATATTCATAAATCCATTCATAAGTAGTTAAGTACATTCATAAACTTTAAACGTAATATGAACAGCAGCCGGCACGTTTTGACGAGCACTCCTAATTCATAATAGCGGAAGATTCATTGCTATTTCCAAAATAAATATTTCTTTAAGAATTCAAGTCTTTAGTTAATTAGGAAGCAGCCATACGAAATCTACCAGTTTTCGATGCTTCCGTTTGTATATTAAACAGATAAACACCATAATGGTTCGAAGATAAATTTTATCGGTAGGTATTTGATGGATCGACAATATGACGGCTGAACACAGACCTCGTTGTAGTCAACAATCATAATATGATAAAAAAACTGGAATGCCTTCCGATAACAGATCACAGATATTAGCGTAATTTTTATATAAGAAAAAAAAAAACAAAAATATTACCTGAGTCAAATTAACGCGAACGGATATCAATTTTTATATAAAAAAATAAAAACTATGCTATTCCGCATTGTCCCAATGAAAGTGAACTAATTACCAGGACCCCACCCACGCCAGTCTACCTGGCTGCAAAGGTCATCGAACCGAAGGGTGAGGTCAGTCGGAAGTAATAATTCCAAAGCAAATAACATTTTTCTCGACCGATTCACTCACGGTAGCAATAATTAGAAGTGCGATTGTTATTTGTTTGATTTAAAATTACGAAGTTCGTGATTTTCGAAGATCACGATAATTAGAGGAAACGGTAAAATTATTTCTATTAAAATAATAAGAACCGTACGCGTATTGTATTGTTGGCAGAATCTGTCGACTTCCGAGAAGATGTCCCGAAAACGAACCAAGTATTTATAATCACACTAGCGACCCGCCCTCGCTTCGCTTCGGAAACTGTAATTTATTATTGATTTCTCCACTATTTAATGGATGTTATTATACATATAAACCTTTCTCTTCAATCACTCTATCTATTAAAAAAAACCGCATCAAAATCCGTTGGGTAGTTTTAAAGATTTAAGCATACATAGGGACAGAGAAAGCGACTTTGTTTTATACTATGTAGTGATATGCACCATGTGAAATTTTGGATAAATCGATCCGAATATTGTTTGCTTTGAACGATGTAAATTTCTTTGTTTATTAACAGTGCAAATTCCTCATAAAATGAGGCGTACGCTTGTAGATTTTTGCTTGTAGAGCTTCCGAGGAAATTTATCTTTAAAATGTGTGTATGGTTAACTAGTGAAATCTGGTTACGCTCCTCTGTGAGACTATCGCGAATTGTAAAAATAAAAAGCATTGGTTTCTTGAAACTATTCAGGCGCTACATTTCGTTTTTTGATGAAACATGACATCACAATCGATCGGATGATTTAGGAAGGCACAGAGGACAAATACACAATCATTCTTATTTACATTTCAGATAAATTCACGTTGATAAAGAGACAAAAAAAATACAAATTTTCAAAATATCTGAACTCTAAATAATGTCTGACTATAAATGAATAAAGTGATCATAGTCTAATTTGATTATGTACACGACGTATGTATGTACGTTTGGACGTAAAATCATTTTTTAAGCAAGGATCTCACCAGTTTGGAAAGAAAATAATGCTATAATATATTTCTTAGTACATATATATACATACTAGCAGTTTTTTGTTTAAATTTTAATTAGTCTCTAACAGCTCTCAACACGTCTGCTCATAGTCTAGCTAACTGATTGCAAGACAATGAAAAAAAAGAAAAAAATTAGTGTAGAACTTACCACACCGCCTCCAGCGGAATGCACGAGTAGACTCTTGCCGGGAGTCAAGTTAGCCATCTCGAAGAGCAGCAGATAGGCCACCACGTAGTTCGTGGTGATGGCAACAGCATCCAGGGCAGACATTCCTTCGGGCAGCGCGTACACGTACTGGGCCGGTACAGACACCAGCTCGGCCCAAGCGCGGTACTCGGGGAGAGCCACCACTTGGTCGCCCACCTGATGAGACGACCACGTTTTCAATAGTATCAAGTGTTAGTACAGTAGTAAGTTTTTTTTACATATATGTAGAGCGGTTCTCATTCGTATTAAGAAAACTCATACAGGAAATCGTCGTTGTCAAACCAAAATCTGCTATGTGCACTTTTTGAGATTTTTATTTTTTGACCTTTTCGTATAGTTCACATCACTATCTACCGTATAAAAAAAACTGAAATGTGTCTATAGCTTTAATATTTATCTATAGCTTTCATTTGATATAGTTCTTAAAAATTCACCTTCATATAAAATTTTATACGAAAATGTTTTTACTCGTTAATTCAAAATAGAGTTTTTGCACATAGCAGATTTTGATTTGACAGCGACGAAATGCCAAAACTCAACTTGAAATTAGAGTCTTAAGAAAATCAAATAATGTCTAATGTGACTTACAACCCATCTTTCAAACGGGCATGCATTGTAAGGACTACAACTTCCTAATGACAATCGATATTTTTTGCATAATTGTGTACTTTTGGCGGGAATGCGAGGAGCGAAGTTAAGTGAATTGTTTTATTATGTTAGTTTAGTGTTTCTTCAGATTCAAATTTGTAAAAACGGTGGTTTATTAAATGTTTAGCATCTGTGAAAGTGTACAAATGTGGAGAAATGAAAAAAAATCGCTCGACAAAACTTCTCAAGTTCTTCCAAAATGTCCACTGAAAAAGTCTCAGTCAATAACCAGTATTTTACTAAGACTAAATCTCATTCCATCTTATCGCATACCATTTCATTTCATTCCAATTAATTGAAATTTAAAATTAATCAACTTCATTACATTTTTCTTATTATAACAGAATGTAAGAAGAATATGTAAAATATGAGACTTAAAGGTCTCCTTACCAGGATTTAAAAAAATAATATTTAGATTTCTCTTTTGGCACACTTAGTTCAATTTATTTCAACAAATTGTTCGCAAACTAATAATAAGTTATTGAGAAGGTAGCTGATCAAAACATCCACATACCGAAATATCCATTTAATAACATAACTACAAGATTCGTAGAATTCATTTGGGAACGTGGCTGCGCAGGTCGGTTATAAATATTGGTGATTCTGCATTATTTGCCAATTCAACACTGCATTGTGACATTAAGTTTCGAGTTACAGGGGGTCGTTTGTGAGGGGAATGTTTTACGGAGGGTTTGCGAAAACGTATCGTATTGATGCACTTGATACGTCAAGGAAATATCGTTAACTTCAACAAACACGTTTTATAGTATGAATTGTGTGATTGTTGAAACATTTTGTGTCGCTTATTTTTCAGAGTAGTACATTAATATGCGATTACAGGAGCCTATAGGCCAGTGTACCAGGCTCACCACAAACCGGGAGAAGTGGCGATTGCTCGTGAGGCACATTACATCTGCCCTCATCAATGATACTGAATAACGACCACGACCGTTTAGACAAGAGCGATACAAAGAATAGACCACAGTAACTTGAATAAGAGAAGATCTGTTTGACGTAGATCTCGGCATTTTACCTTAAAATTGGTGACATTTTCGCCAACTTGCTCGATTTCACCAGCGCATTCGAAGCCCAAGATGAAGGGAGTCTTCGGTGGAGAGTCAATGGCGCCCTGACGAACTATCAAATCTTGGAAGTTTAGGCCGCTGTTAAGAAAACAAAAAAAGCAATTAATTGTTTTGTTATTAGTTTTATAACATGAATCTAAAACATGACGGACCTAGGACCTAGGATTTAATAATAGAATCGACAACAGACATCTTCATTGAGTCGAGTACACTTTTAAGTACTTAATTAATATAGTGAGACAAAGAATGCGGTAGCCATTCCATATAATAGTTGGTAGGTACAGACAGACATGTACAGAATAATATTGCACGCGTATAAAATTTAAACGTGTTCCAAACAAATATGGCGCATATCTGCGCATAGACTATAATCACAGAGTGTTCTATAAAGTAACCGACACAATTTATATTGTTTACAGTGTGTACCCGCGATTGCGAGCGCGAATAGATCTAAACCCTAGTCATACTTCTAATTATACCTAATGGCTTAAAAGAGTTTAAGCACTTCGGGTAATTTCGGTAGTTTGGTCAGTGGCAAAGAACATATTTCCATCAATTTTTATTTTACACTACTTTATTCTTTCTCAACATCGGCGACTTCTGAAAAACTAGCAGAGCTGCACTTTTTGTAGTCTTGTGAAAGCATGATTGAGGGCGAGCGCGCAGTTCAAAATGAGGTGATTTTTTGTCTTGGACCAATGTTATCTCGATGCATTATTAAAATCATTTTCATATTGGTTTATTGGCTACAGCACAGACGAGAAGTTTCTTTACAATTTATACCATGTGTAACTACAATTCGTATTGTATATATATATTCACAATATATTGCAATGAATTTGACATAGATATACTAGAGATAGATGAATTAATGCTGACATAGAGAAACACCTACTACCTACTAAAGATCAAGTTGTTGATATAAACTATAATAATTGTAACAAAGTAAACATAAAAATATATTTCTCTGTAATTTATTCTATTTAAGTACATTACCATTAATTCATCATATGACATCATTTCATATGTGGCAGGTATAATTTAATGTACAATAAAGATTACCTATCAGCGTAAACGAAGCCGTTATTAAAACAATATTTGTAATTTATGACAAAAAAAACAGTAAAATCAATAAAGTGTCGCTCTACATAGATATGCCATTGACGAAGCTTTTAAAGAATCGCGTTAATTAAAAAAAAAACTACCTCGGGAATACTACTTTTTATATGAAACAAAGCTATCCTATGTCATTTTAAATGTCCACGATGATCGGTAATGCGTCTATTGTTTTAATTTGAATTTTAAAGCGAATATTTTCCGGTATTATCTATATCTGTACTAATATATAAATCTACAGTGGTTTTTACGGATGTTCCGTTATAACTACTGAACCATGCATCCGATTGACTTGAAACTTGGTATCCATGTAGAAAATACAAATACTTCATGGATAGGCTAATATTTATATGAGTATTGGACTTCCTATTAATAATCTATACTAATATATATATAAATCTACAGTGGTTTTTGAGGATGTTCCGTTATAACTACTGAACCCTGCATCCGATTGACTTGAAACTTGGTATCCATGTAGAAAATACAAATACTTAATGGATAGGCTAATATTTATATGAGTATTGAACTTCCTAATAATAATGACAATAAATAATAATGTTAATTTTAAATGCCTAGCGAAGCGAGCGAGTACGGCTAGTTTATTTATAAGCACATATGTATTCATACGATTAAATGTGTATTCATTACTCTTCTACAACTTTAACCCTATGTCTAAAAGTGGGCGTGATTATCATTTAACTAAACAAGAGTTGTTGACGTATATCTTTATTTTAAGCATGGATGCACATATAATTCACGGCCCACCCGATTTTAGACGCTTACCGATGCCCATAGCCACCGCATGTGAGGCCCATTAGAATATCGCCTATCTCGCCTTTCAGACTTGAATGCGTGATTGCGTCGCTTCAGACACGAGCAATTCAAGAATTAAAGTTAAACATATAAACATATAAAGTTATAAGGGTGAATGTACTACATATTACTACGTTCGAATAATAGGGTGGTAATATCTAGTAAGTAGTATTTTATTACTGGTGGTAGGACCTCCTGTGAGTCCCCACGGGTAGGTACCACCAGACTACCTATTTCTGCCGAGAAGCAGTAACGCGTTTCGGTTTGAAGGGCGAGGCAGCGGTTGTACTGTTAAAGGTGAGTCTTTACAACTCATGTCTCAAGGTGGGTGGCGACATTTACGTTGTGTGTATGGGCTCCGGTAACCACTTAAAACCAGGTGGGCTATGAGATCGTCCACCAATCTAAGCAAAAAAATATATATATAAAAGTAACTGTAGGAGGTCGTCGTCTCAATTTCGAAATTGCTATAACAATCATATCGGAAATAAAGGAAACTTTGTTAAAAACCTATAATTTATTGTTTGATACTACACATTTTAATTAATTTAAGTAATCATAAATAGAACCTACGTAAGTTGAACAAAATAATCATGTTGTAATATACATACATACATATGTACTAGTCAATTGGAGGCGACAACTGCGCGCGTCGACCTTTATAGGTACCGTCTGCGTGGAGGTTGTATTCGCAAGTAATCGATATTTCGCGCTCGCCGACGCCTATCCTATATCAGAAATACCTACATCCGACACACAAGCATCGGACAGCACACATGGCTATATTCAGTCGTGTATAATTCTTTGTAAACATATTAGAACATTAAAAAAGATTTCTATATTTTCTTTTTCTTCAATCACGTTCGTATTTGAAAGAAAAATAAGAATTTAATCTTATAGGTAAACGTTTGGTGTTTTATTCTCCGCAACTATTCATGAAAAAGCGATTAAAACTCTCCAAAAGTCTATCGTCTCGATATAAATGAATAAAATCAATAGCGTAAACTGTAAGCAAATAGTTTAAAGTTTTTACTATGTTTTATTTTTAGCGTATAAATAGTTTCTACGTAATCCATTAAACAGCTTCTGCTTTCACTCAACCAAAATCACAACATACGTTAATGTTCATCGCCGATTGTACATTACATGCACCTAAACAAGGAAATGCCGTTGAGTTCAGCTAAAACAACGCCAAAAATACATGCAGCACACACCCGGCACAATACAGCGAATGCAGCACACGAACTATATGTGAAAAAAAAAAAAGAATTGATTCCCAGAAATTTCTCGAAAACAACGCTTACGTTATTAACAGAACTGGACTTTTGCTTCATAATTTATTGAAATGAAATGAACTACTAAAATGTTACTGATATTTAAATACAGTTAGTTCGTCATTCAATTCCTTTAGAAGAATCTTGATTGTTTGCTCACTTAATTTCGTTCGCAAGCCTGTATGCTTAGTGCGAGTTTTTTAACTTCTCGATAGCGTAAAAGTTAGCCCAATTTTGTATGCAGTTGGAACAGCGCCCCTAGCGGCAAACGATCCCATTTCATACAAATATGAGCTAACTTTTACGCTATCGAGAACGTTAAAAAACTCGCACTAAGCACACTGTTTATTTCAGGGGGAACATAGTGATGCGTAGAACAGTACCCCGTTTATTCAAGACCCCTCGTTGTGTCGCCGACGGACATTCAGCCCCTGACATGTGGATATTAATGCACTTAAGCCCCGTAATTCTGAATAATTACGACATGGAAGTCGAATGAGTCTATGGCACACTATAGTCGCCACAATGTCGGCGGCCGCGTCGCCCGCGTTCGCACCCGCATACGTTTTATTGGAATAAATTGGGTGTGGGATCTACAAGCTTATTACGAAAAAGCTTTGTCCCACATTTACGATGAATGTGTCGTTCCTGTGACTCGTCGAGTCCAAGACCGGAATTTTAATCCGAGATAATCTCCGACAACGAGTCTCGTATCGAATTTTACGCACGCTACCTGATGCTCGTTCCAAGCTGAATTGAATGGCTTCCTTCGACAACAATAGTTTGTAATGCGCACCTTATTCAGGTAGACGATATTTTGTATACTACAAAACAACCTTACAAGTTAAGTTAAGCCTGATCGAATAATTTTTAGTCCCTAAAGATTTAAATTCGCATTGTGATCCTATGAGTTTGGTTTGTGAACTATACATTAAAGTTATTTGGGTTATTTGATATAGTTTAATCGACGTTGTAAAAACTGCTTTTTTTAGGCGTTTCCAGTCGTCAAGTGGCGTGTTAAGGTTCTCAAGGTCTTGGGGTCAACTAACGACATATCCGGTGCGACCACTGGAGTTATAACCTCAAAAAATTTCACATTTCATCGTTTCTTATCTTAAAATTGAAATTAATGACCCATTAAATGTTTACGTTGCAGAGACACGCACGTAAACAAGTTTGATTTTAATGCGCAATATTTAAGTACATTTACTATACTGCTGCTTCGTACTTTTTATTTGAACACACGTTGCAAACGGTAAATCGATTAGCAGTCTTGAACACGCAGTCACGATGTTATAAAGCAATTATGCGGGAGTGATAAATTGAATTAAATTTCTATTCACGGTAATGACAGCCGGTAATGTATAGGAAAAGCGGCGAACATGAATGGATATCATTGAATTGGCTGCGTTAAGGGTGATATTAAATTGCATGGAGACTAGGGTGGTGGCGCGACGCGGACATCGACGTTAAGTCGCGACGGTCGTGGCGCGACACTGCATACGTCATTTGATTAATCACTTAGAACAGTTTATTAACTTTGAAGAGAAACTAGCCACTTCTTCTTTTTGTTTTTTTTTCGGTCCCTGGGCCGAACCTCCTACGAGGTCCCCGCGCCTAGGGGGCGCGCGTGGTATGAGGGACTTGACGTTCTGCAAGGTGTTGGAGCAGATCGCGCGCCCAAGGAATTTTAGGGCCCTACCGCACTAAACGACTCCCCTGCACTCTTACACCCGACGTCCGATCTCCGTCCGGGGTTAGTCGCAGCTTGTCTTACCTGCCTGACGTGAACCCTCCTTTGAATATATACTCCAGTAGTTTAACCATTGCAACATGTCATAGGGAAAGACTTTCTCTGTTTCATCTTTTGGTGTT